AAAAATACATTTTTAGCAACGGAATTTCCCTCGGAAATCCGTCGCTGATATCAACTTATGAATAAAACCCATCATCTAGGTCAAGCCCCCATTATCAGATTCTACACATTTTGAACACATCGGTTCCTTCCCGTCGCTACCACCACCGTTTTAACACATAGATCGATCGGTTCCTTCCTGTCTTGCCGCGATTTGCCGACCACCACCGTCTTCCCATTGCCGACCACCACCATCTTCCCGTTGCTAACCACCGTCGCCGACCACCACCGTCACCGAGCAACAGCAAGTCGCCGGACCTGTTGCCAACCACCACAGCCTTCCCGTCGCCGACCACCACCATCTTCGAGCAACAGCAAGTCGCCGGACCCGTTACCAACCACGACCGTCGTCTCCATTTCCGACCACCACCGTCTCCATTTCCGCCGTCTCGGTTTACTTATTACCCTTACTTTTTATGTAAAGAAGTAGAAAATCGAACAATATTTGGGTTACATTTAGAGTGTATGCAGATCCAAAAACATCCAAAGTTTTGGGATGATAGTAAAAAAGAAGTCATGAGTCCATATACAAAACAAGTGCAGATGCCGTTTTGGTTTTAATGAATACAAAAGTCATGATAGTAAAAAAGAAGTCTCGTTTTTGGTTTTAATGAATACAAAATTATGTTGTAATTTTGGGAGGAATTGCATTCGCATGTTTAGTTGGTGTTGTAATTTGTACTAAACAAGTGCAGATGCCGTTTGTGACTATATTTGTACAGAACCAAGTATTGGAAYTTTAGAAGCTTATGTTGTAATTGCAGAATATTTGTGTAAACCGTGCAAACCGCTCTCATCCGTCGAATGAAGTTTGCACGGTTTGTACAAATTGAAAGGTTTGCATTTGATCGCTCCCCTGCGTATATATGTTCCATGCTCATATATTCTTGATATGATGGGAAATATTAGTAACAAAATTGCTCCCAAGAGGTTTTACTAGACAATTTCTGCATGCAATTAGGCACATTGGTTTGAAAATGTTAGTTATTGAAGTTTTGTTGCGACATGTTCATTTCTTTCAGGTGGTTGAAGGAGAAGAAGTTAAATATTTAYKTGGAACCACRAGTAAGAACRGAACTTGTATCAGAGTCCCCATACTACAACTTTTTGCAAACCTGGAAAGATGGTGAGCCATGCAACCCATTCTGATTTCCAGAAGTAGAATTAGACCGTCCATTCTTCAGTTAGTACAACTTAGAATTACCCTTTCAATTTCTTATTTCAAGTATGTTAATATGTTACTTTCAAATGCGGTTACTACACATAACTTTCTATAGTCGCACAACAACAATAGTTTTTCTCCCATATGAGTTGCAGTTCTTGTTGAGATGYTATGCGATTCATACTGAACCAAAATGAAGTAACATTATATTGTGATATTAAAGGATTCAATGAAGTTATATGTAGAGCGAGCATTTATCTTATGTCTATTGTCGTTAAGTTCAAGGATAAGCTAGAAAATTCTCTTGTTGATCATTCTCGTCTTGTTTTTAACAGAGGATGGCATTTTGCTTCTGCATGAGAAAGTTGATCTTGTTGTAACTCTTGGTGGGGATGGAACCGTGCTTTGGGTATGTGCTTCCATTTCCATTTCTTCTTGAACCAAATGATCTAAGAACTCTTTCTGTGATGTTTTAATCAATTTCATAGTGCAATTCATACTCTGTGGCTTGTGTAGGCTAGCAAGAGATATAAAATACAACTTAAAAAAGGAATACGAAATGTGGAAATTCTGGTTGGGGACAGTTACTGTTGTTTAAGAGAACGTTATCCTTGGAAACCCCTCCATAAAAGGATGGTGATGAAGCAAATCTTGAATACGTATTGATTCATGAAATTGATATAGGAATTCTCAAGTTGATTCAAGTATCAAAAACTATGCACTTAGCGAGTTAGCAGAGCTTCTTTTTTTGAAAGTTCAAATTTAAGAGGACGTTAGTGCCATTTCAGTTGTCGAATGCTCAACCCATAGTGTGTGGACAGTACAATTTAGCACCCGCGAAGTAGAAATTGTAGGGAAACTGCATATATTCTTATAGTCGAACCGTTTTATAGTTCGGATTCAAGTTTTTCCTCATAATGATCAAATATGTTTTTGTTGTACTGTAATTTGGTTAGCTTGATTCCAGAGTTTATGCTAATGGGCCCGTTGTTAGCATGATGACTGGCAAACTCTTAGTCTGTTACAGAATGACACCTTGAATGAGAGAGGTTCTTTAACATTTGGAAATTTATTGTGACATCTTGCTTGCAGCTGGAGGTTCAATGGTACATCCACAGGTATGTCTTACATGCCTATATATAATGTGTTCCAAGGCCTTGTGAGTCTTACAATAATAACTGAAACCAACAGAACTAAGCAAAGTGTTGTGATGCTGGTTGAGATTGATAGGGTGACCATTTATGAAAACAACTTTTCTACCCCTTTGGGTACATCCTATTCCTCCCGTGCCCTACTTTCGAGTGGGATATACTGGAATCATTTGGTGTGGTCTTTAAAGTCAGGTTCATGTCTATTACTCTTATAGATGCCAATTTTATACTGTTTGCCACTATCTGTTTTGGTATTTCATTATGCGACTTAGATGTAGTAGTAGCGGGTCATCATACGAGTCAAGAGCGGAGGTACGTTGGTTATATTGTTATAAACTTTCTCATTGCTAAAATTGGGAACAAATTACTGATTTTGTCGAATATTTAATATTTACAGGTAGCGGAGTTGAGGGAGAAGTTGGCAAAAGTAGAGAAGGAGGCACAGTTACGGGAGGAACGTCATCTGGCCGAAATGGAGGACGAACGGAGGAAGAGGGCAGATTTGGAGACCGAACAGGCCAGACAAGCTGCTGCATTAGCCCAACAGGCCGCATTATCGGAGCATTTTGCTACGTTTATGCGGCAGTCATGATACGTTTTCCCAACTCCCCCACATCCCGATAGTTAGATTATATGTATTCGAATATTAAATTGTATGAATTGAATATTTAAATTTTATGAATCCATATTTTAAATCGTATGAATTGGTTATTAAAATTTGTTTACAGTTTTTGTTTGTTAAATATTTTCAGGTTATTTTTAYAAATAAATACAGGAATTATCCAATTTCAAAAAATTTATTTTTTAAATTTATACAAATTAGCGACGGATTAGCGAGGGAAAATCCGTCGCTGAAAGTCCTCAAAAATTCCGTCGCAGATCCGTCGCTGAAGGTTCCGTCGCAGATCCGTCGCTGAAGGTTCCGTCGCAGATCCGTCGCTGAAGGTTTCGTCGCAGATCCGTCACTGAAGGTTCCCTCACAGATCCGTCGCTGAAGGTTCCCTCGCAGATCCGTCGCTGAAGGCTCCCTCGCAGATCCGTCGTTGATCTGTCGCTGAAACTATCCCTCGCTGGTCCGTCGCTGAAAGTGTCCCTCGCAAATCCGTCGCTGATATCCGTCGTTGATCCGTCGCTGATAGCATTACCTACGACTATTTGACCGACGGAGTATCAGCGACGGATTGCCCTTTCAGCGAGGGATTTGCGAGGGATTTTTCCCTCGCTGATACTCTGCATTTTTGTAGTGAAGTTAACATAATTTCCATAAAGAAGAAATGTAACAGTTTCAACATTATGACATCTACATATAACAATAAGCTTCCTCCATTAAGCAATTAATTAATGTTTTTTTATTGGCAAGAGAGGGTTTCCAGGCTTGTGTCTCTCCAAACCAACAAGTGCAATTCATTAACAATGAATTAATAAAAAAAAAACTAAGAACATGATTCATAGGGAGGATGCATAATGGAATCACCAAACGTAGTAGCGAATCTGTTGGGTTTGCTGGAAGTCAGGATCAAAAGAGGTCATAATCTTGTTGTTCGTGATATGACTGCAAGTGATCCTTATGTTGTCATCAAGATGGGTGATCAGGTATCTTAATTAATTGCTTAATTTACCTCTTTTCTACACGTCGCTTTGGTACCATGTTGAAATATGTGATACCCTTAAGATATTATCGTTGAAAAAGGTCCTGTAAATGTATAGACGTTACATGAACCATGTCTATATATCCGATGTAGGACTCCAATATACATGTTGTCATCTAGTGGCCAAGTGTTCTATCTCATAAATCATAACCTACGATTGTTGTGTAAACTTACGTCACAAGACTCCAATATGTTGCCTAACATTTCAGCCACCCAATTTTCTCTCTTTCACACTTTAACCATGCATTGAGAGGCTTACTACCTATTTAAGTCCTTGTAGGTAAGATTTTTAGGGTGTTGGCCGCCATATGTAATGTATAATTCCAAAAATAGGCTATGGTAATACATGGAGAAGGGTGGTATGGATCATATTATTTATTGTGCGAATGATTCGTCCAACTTTTCCGATTTGGGGGGAGTATGGGACACAAAAGAGAGAAAGTAACAATAAGAGAAGGTTGAAAGGGAAGGCGTACATGTTTCCCTGAAGGACATGAAAAAAAAAAATTTAGTATGAAAGTAGTACCGTGAGGGAGGGTGAAAAGAACCCCCATCAGGGAATGAAATAGAACATGAAATTGTAAGCTCCCAAGCAGTGGGAGGAGCCCGGGGCTCTGACCGCGTGCCTGTTGAAGAATGACCCGACGACTCATAGGCAGTGGCTTGGTTAAGGGAACCCGAACCTGCTTATGACCCAAAGACCGGCTTGATGATGTTGGGGTTGTTGGATGGGGGCTGGTGTTGTGACATAATGACATTTTGGCATAGCCAAATGGCCCAACTTGGAAAAGTGTATGCTTTGGTTGAAATCGATGTTGACTTTTCGCCTATGGGTGTTCCAAATATGCCATAAAATTTACATTCTTGTCATACTGTATCTTCCTCTCTTGGTGCGAGAAGATTCGTCCATGAATCACAAGTTGGATCATCCTCAAAGAAGTTATCACCATAGTAAGGGAGTACAGAAACTAATGCAAAATGTGTCTATTACGACACTGTTAACATGTATTTGTATATACAACGAAATGAAAACAAATATTTTAGATGATCACAAAAGTAAGTAATTAAATCAAAGGGATATTGAGACATGGATCAAAGGATGTGATATGGAGGCATAGATCAAGTGATATGATACGGTGTATCATGATCACTATCTTTATCTTTATCATCCCCCTACAAGATGAACGGTCGAAGATGAAGGCCAATCTTGAATACGAAAATATAAAAAGCAGTGCGAGGAAGTGGCTTGAAGTGCATCGACAAGCTGATCTTACTTGGAATGCAGGACATCCGGTTTTGAACACTAGCATGAACAAAAGTTGTAGTCAAGGCCTAGTTGCTCTATTTTTTAATGAAATTTCAAATTAGCCAAAAAAAAATGTGGCACGTGTGTTATCACAAAAAACAGATGGTTGAACCATGGATCTATAGTCATGTTCGGTGAGCAGATAAAGAACTTCTATTGCGATCGATGCAATAGTTTGATTCTCTACTTTAGTAGATAAGCCGGAAACAGTTAAGTCCGGAACTAGTTCGTCACCTATTTCATAAGGAACATGTAGGAAAAGTCTTTAGAGTTCCCTTAATTTGTGTCAAAAATCGACATAGACCGAATGGCATTTACATCTTATGCATGGGGCAACAATTCCAAAGTCTTGTATTCAATAACATAATTATATATATATTCATCATTCATGCTCATTTTCCAATTTGGATCATTAAGGGAAGAAACAAGGTTACATGGTATATTGCAATTTCTAACATATGAGTAGGGGTGTAAAATATTCGATCTTTTAACGAGCTACTCGAGCTTGAGTCAATATCAAACACAAAATAAACTCGTGTAACATAACGAGTCGATCTTCATAACACTAATTTTTGACTTGACTCGTTCGAAAACTTGATTAAATTTTTCGAGTCGATCTTCATAACACTAATGTTTAACGAGCGTATACTTTTTGGAGCCAAACATGCTCAGATATTCATCAATCATACAATAGAAATGTAAAAAGTATCGACTTGGAGATAATCAATGAGTTAATTGATCGCAACTTCGAACCTATAAACGAGCATCAAGCTCGAGCTTCATAATATAAATAATATTCAAGCTCGAGCTCTACTTTGAAAAAGTTATCGAGCTCGAGCCTGATATTATTTTTTCAATTTGAGATTGAATAACCTAATACTCGATGTGGCTCAACTTCTTCTTTTTTTTTTCAACAACTATACCATGATTGCTCTCAAATTAAATTAAGACGAGAGAATACTTGACGTTGATGCCATGTGAGATGTGGCTTCGGTGTTCGTATACCACTTGGCATTTGGTGGATTGAGTTGAAGAGTATGTATGTTTTCTATTAGATACGCTCATATCCTTATAACATGTCTCCTAAATCTAATGATGATCGATCACTTGACGTTCTCACAGTCTCTCATACATAAAAATGAGTATGCACCCACGAACGTAGAAGGGCTTCCACACATTCTAATAATGTTTTTAGTCGTTATAACAATAATTTGACTTAAATGTTTATAACTTGATGCAGAAACTAAAGACTCGAGTTATCAACAACGATATCAACCCTACTTGGGATAATGACTTGATTGTTTCCGTTAAAGATGCTAATCTCCCTATAAAACTAGTAAGTTCTTCATGAATTACATTACATACAGATGAATATATACACACACAATTGGGTTTAGTAAGAACAGCCCATTTTATTGAGAACAAAGGAAAGTGCGCATATATTTTGTGAAGGTTTGTCGTTAGAAATATGAATATGCCCTTATATTGTGTGAATGTTACAACATTCACAAAATATGTCTTGTGAATGTTACAACTTTCATACAATGTAAGGAAGCATTCAGTTATTTTTATATTCTCTCGAAAGTGAAAAATTCTAACCATGTCCTAGAATTCTCTCTCTCTGTCTCTCTCTCTCTCTATATATATATATATATATATACGTGTGTGTGTGTGTGAGAGAGAGAGAGAGAGAGAGAGAGATTGGGATAATGTGAGAAGCAGGAGATGTTTGGCGCTACCTAAGTCATTTTTGTAAAATGGTGGTGTTCTCGTTTGAAACCACCCTCTCTCTCAGAGGTTCATTTGAGCAGTGGTAACTATTTGACAAGTAAACAAGTAATTCTAGCTCTTCATACAGTCAATAATTGCGGCTTTGACTCAAAGAACAGAGGGTAGTTTCATAACTTTTACAAATAGGCGGCAAACAAGTGCATATGTGAACTCATAGTTGATATGTGAATCAGTTAATTAGTTCATATGTGAATCGCACGGTTTCATATATGAATCGGTTAAATGGTTCATATGTGAATTACAAGGGCTCACATATGAACATTAAGTTCATATGTGTAATGTTCATATGTGAATCACACCGGCTCTCATATCACTTGTTTTGCCGTTCATTTGTAAAAGTTATGAAATTATCTGTTTATCTTTCGCATACCATGCGAGGAATTATCTAGTCAAAGCCACGGCTAGGATCACTTATTTACTTCTCAAATATTTATTACTTCTCAAATGAAATTATGGCTATATATATATTGAGTCACCAAGTTGAACAGTTAAACCATCATGTTATCTCAGCTTCTAAAAGAAAGTATTGAAACTAGGGTTTCAAGCAACACATGATTTTGGTTGGTTGTATGATTGCAGACAGTGTATGACTATGATGTAATTTCAAAGGATGATAAGATGGGAGACGCAGAATTCGACATAAAAGCATTTGTGGAGGCATTGAAGATGCCTCGTCTAGAACGGCATCCAAACGGCACCGTCTTAAAGAGAATACAACCTTCGAGGACGAATTGTCTAGCAGAAGAAAGTTGCATAATATGGAAAGATAAACAGGTCGTTCAAGAACTTTGTCTTAGATTGCGGAATGTGGCAACGGGTGAAGTTGAAGTTGAACTACGTTGGATCAATCCGCCTGGTTGTAAAGGATTATAGAATAATACTACCATTAATCAACAAGTTTTTAAGAGTAAATTATGGATTCAGTCAATGTGGTATGTTGGTTCTTGTCCTTGAACTTCGTTTATTACAAAAATTAAAAACGAGCCTTGGTGGTATGCGTTTCGTTTTTCTTTTGGTTTTGGTTTTGGTCACTCGTATTAATGGTCAGGCCGTTAAATGCCTTCGCACGAGAGCATAATGATCGTTTTACCCTTAAACTGCAACGTGGCATCGTCTAACATTGATTTTATTTTTTGTAATAATTCGTATTTCTAATTTGTTCTTCTTTTTTGCATCCTACACTACAATAAAATTGGGTTTATAGAACACCATCAATCTCTAAGCGTCCCAATAGACTGCTTTATAGGACTTAGTTTATATGACCAAAATATAAAACGTCCATAAAAACAATCCAGAAGCACTTAACCTAATGATCATCTACCATTGAAGAATTCATCTGGCTGATGAACTTGGCCTTTCCAAAAGCAAGATGTAATGAAGAAAAAGGTGCATTGGAGGACCTTTGACCTTAGTCTTTGATGAAAAAGAAACTTCCAGAGGCTCTTCTAAAGAACACCACAAGAGGAAAGGCAAAAAGGCCTTAATCATAGAATCGGAGTCTGAAGAAGCGAGCTCAAATTCAGACGATGATCTCAAAGCCTTGGCCAAATCGCTTGCTCTCATAACAAAACAGTTCCAAAAGAAATTCATCAAGAGGCCCTATGAAAAAAACAACATAAGAGAATTCAGAAAGGAGAGATTTCAGCCCAACCATGAGCATAAGACAATAAAGTTTCATCAAAGAGATGAAAGAAGAGAAGAAACAAGAGAAGAAAGAAGAGAAGGGGATGAAAGAAAAGATAGTTTGAGATGCTACCAATGCGGGAAAATTGGCCATTTTTTCAAAGATTGTAGAGGAAGGCAGGTAAAAGATGCAGACTACTACAAAAAAATCATAAGTTGTTTCAAATAAGCAATCCCAAACACCCTTTGGTAGGATTACTAATGTGTTCCTCTTTTTTAAATTTTTACTCGAACCACACTATTTTATTATTCTTAGTACAGGTTCCAGATATAAACCCATGATCAAATATAACTGTAGAAGTTAGTCCTGTTTCTTTACAACAAAACAAATATACATATGTTTCTCTCTCCTCTCTCTCACTCTCTCTTATATTACATGAAATAATCAAATATAGTTGTATACCCTATTTCTAGTCTTCTTTATTTCATTCAATTTTTTTATCAAACACCAAATAAGGGTCTGCCACAGAATTAATTGTTTTCGGAACAGATTTTTCGACTCATTGTTTGATTGATCGAAGCTCCCATTTGCCTTCACCGTCAATTAATCGTAACTCCAACGAGTGAAAGGGTATTAATGCAGGGCGCTGAGAAGAAAGAAAAGCCATGGTTATTAACAAAATTGAGGTAAAAGACTTGACCAAACCAACTCGGTATACTCCACTTGAAACTAGAGTATTTGTCCTCTAACCCAAAAGGGTAGAGAGGTTTCGGCTAAAAATTAACATAAAATGTGTGCAGTAATTAGCAGAATAGTGTGAAAACAGGCAACTCATATAGTACTAAGAACCGAACTACTAAAGCAAAAGAGAAACTACGGAAAAACTAAGAGCATCCACAATTAGAGCTTTTTTCAACAAAAGTGGGACCCACATGCTTGGGTAGAAGCTTGTGGTCATAGCTTTTTCACAATCCCACGTGGCCAACAAGCTTATTTAATAAGCTCCATTGTGGTTGGCATACAGTAAAAACAGGAAATACCAAGACTGTTGGCAGCAACTACCTGTGATGATGTAATAACAGTGATGCCCATATCGCGTGCAAGCCTATACAAGTGCTCTTCAACATCGACACTTGTAGCACTGGAATAATAAGAAAAGAGATAAGTAAACGAACCCACTATATTCCACACAAAGGTAGATGTGATGGGAACTAAAACTATGGCAAGTTATGATATGCTTACTTGGTGCATTCATCAAGGACGCCAAACCGAGGCTTGTGAAAGAATAAGCGAGCCTTGAAAACAACGAAGAAATCAAAGAGTTAAGGCATATGAATTAATGTTATGATCAAGGAGGCTTTTGCAAACTAAGCTCACCATGCCTAATCTCTGTTGTTCCCCAAGAGACAGGATATCTTCCCAGTTCTGACTAGCATCCCATCTCCCTTCTCTTTCGAAAAGGTAAGATAATTTCACACTCTCTAAAATCGTTTTCAGATGCGTATCCAAAATGTTTACATCTATTTGCCCTGAAAATTAGAATAAACATGTAAACCAAACCGAACAAACCCACTATATATATCCCACCCCAATGTAGGTTACCTCTGTCTCAAGAGACAGAAGAGACCCCGCCTTGCTTTTTAGCATAAGGGATATGTAGGAGGAGTAGAGAGCTCATCTATTTTACTGGTTATTTAGAAGAATAACCTTCTGACAAAAAAAAAATTGCATGACCTTCTGACGGAGGCTATCTTAAATTTGTCAGAATGCCAGGTATTTAAATCGTAAATAACCCTCTATTTTTACTCTGCCCACCATGAAAAATCAATGGAGGATCACACTCTTTTACTGGAAAAGCAGAAAAAGGAAACGTAACGGTAAGAACACAATTCACCTCCTTGATACAAATTTAATGCCCTTTGCTTTGCTTGCTCATGCGAGAGAGGATATATAATTTGATCTCGTAATGTCCCCAAACAAGTATATGGCTTTTGAGGGATGTATAATATGCCACAACCAGATTCAACCTCGTCATTAACATTGTGGCACGGTTTAACAAGTCGTCCATCGGCTATAGGCCAAAGACCTCGGAGAACCCTGAACACGGAACTTTTACCGCTCCCATTTGGACCTTCATTATTGAGTTTTGGCTGTCAGAAAGATGCAGATGTACAAAAATATTTTTAAAGTAGATATATTCTCACTAACCAGTAAGAAGAAGGCTTTTCCCTGGTACTATATCACATGTCAATTTCCGGGCCAATAATTTCTGTGATGGGGTAATAATATCAACCTCAGAAAAAGAGATACTATCATCAGATTCCTCGTGCATCTCATCAGACTGCGATGAAGTACCAACAGTCTCATCTGTAGGAATGTTAAAACATAAATCAATCCAAGCCCATAAACTTCCAGTATCCTCGATCACGCGGAAGAGCATGACAATGCAGCACAATGATCATGATAATTATGATGAAAACAACAAATAATGAAGTGGTAACATCCGTTGCTGCTCTAAAGCAAAAGAAAAAGGAAAGCAATAGATATAGAATACCTATGGAGAAATTAAAAGTTCACCCATGTAAACATTAGTGACAAAAAAAAATTATGTACTAGGGGGGACCATGAAAAGGATGCAGGCCTGAAGTGACGAACATAATAAACCATAACTGAACCTGATTCCATCTCCACGCTCCTGCTCAAGCTGGAGAAAAGATATCAGTCATTCTCAACTTGGTAAGGGAAAAAACATGGAATTTAGAACTCCAAAAATACTGACAACACCCAAAAAAGAGTGGGTTGAAGGTCTGCCAATATGGTCTGGATCCTAGCAGAGGTTTTCCTGCTTTACAATTTTTTTAACTAGCCTAACTATTACGGGATAGGGTGCATGTAAGAAGATAAATGAAAGACAGTGTGCAGGAGTTTTGCTGGGAAGATAGAATCTACACTTGTTCTTTTTATTGCGTCTTTACCCTTTGAGGGTGGAGAGCCTGTGTAATTCCACTCCTCCCAGACCCTGCTTTTTGAGCAGGACATACTGGGTTTGTTTGCAAATTGGGAGCAGAATCACCATTCAACTTGAAAAATGTAACATTGCTGCCTCTTATTATGATAAAAGCCAAGTTGCTAATGTTATCTATGGTGTTATTGCGCCGTGATAGCAGTGCAATAGCGGTGGTAAAGCGATTCGCAGTGCTCGGAAAAAGCTCGGTGTAAACTATGGTGCCGCTAATAGCGGCTATTTGCCGCATTTTGGCCGCAATTTTAAGTTGCAATAGCAGTGCTAAATCCACAATTTTTCTTGTGCTTTAGTTGGGCTATTTATGTTTGGTTCAAATTGCCGGGCTCTTTTTTTGCCAAATGTCAAGCTCTTTTAGGTTTAGGTTAAGATTCTGAAGTTCATGACTTCTGCATCCTGAAGCTGCTCAACAATGTTCTGAAATGATGTTAAAATTTGAAGCTGAAATTTAGTTTGTTTGACTTTATAAGTCATTTGAGACTTTCATTATTTCTTTTTGATCGCTAGGATCACATATTTAGCTGTCGAAAAATACATATTATACGCAATTTCAATACCTACTAGATGGACTTGCCAAAATATACATATATACAATATTCTAATTATTATAGGAACTGCTATTTTTGGACCGCTAAACCACAGGTTTATCATTGCAATAACCACTATTTCAAATCATAGTCGTGACCCTGGTTTCAGATTTTGACCGCTGTAACAGCATAGAATGTTATAGGATTCAAGTCATGAATAACATTGGCATGGGACAGTAAGAAACCTTCTTAGGGGCCGCTTACCAAATACCTACCCGGTAAGTGCTTACCAATAAAATGCAACACTATTATATACTTACCGGGTAAGATTTTAGTCCACCAAAACAATATCGCATGCAACAATTTACCCGGATGGTAAGAGTCGTCGCCCTCACTTACCGGGTAAGACTCTTGGTCCTTGTCTCGCTTTTACCGGGTAAGATTCTTAGTCCTTACCATATTCATCCGATGAGGTAATCTGACTTGGTAAGCGCTTACCGAGTAAGCGTTTGATAAACGGCCCCTTAGTTCTATTAGGCCCCCCTCCCAGTTGTTACTCTTTACATGACCAGCAAGGCGACTCCATTCCAGGGATTTAGGTATAGTCAGACAAAAAGCAAACACTGAAACACTGATTTTCGTCATTCAACAATGATAATTCCCAATATAGCAAGTGCCTCCTGTAAACCCAGGGCCTAAGTGGCAGACTGGACTAAAGAGCTGAAACCAATTTGTTGTCGAAACTCAAGGGTAGTAATCAAGTTCTGTAGGTTGACCAACAGTCCATTTAGGAAGCCAGCCACATAATACCTCCTACCCCTAGGGTAACTTCCACAGCAACAACTTCCATCCATCCAACAAGCATGAGGACTCTTAAGCACAGAGTGTCCTTTCAAGGGCAATGAGCAAATCGCAAAGCCTATTACGGATACTACACATTTACCATATTCCAATATAATTTGATTAAATGCTGCCCTGTTCACAAACATAGTTGCAGGGGTATAATGGAATAATAACTAGCAGGCTAAAATGTAATAGTTACTTAAAAAACGCTAACCAGATTGTGCAGCATCAAGAAGCTCTTCAAGTTCGAAAATACGATTAACACCACCAGAGAGTTCAATGAACTTTCTGTGCAGCTCCAAAATGTCACCAAATGCCAAGAAGCTTTGAGATACAACAGATGCCAAAAACCGCAATGCATGTGCCAGCTCACCTGCAAATATTGAAGATAAAAAATTTAATTAGAATCAACTCATTCAAACCAAAAACAGAAACATATATTATATGCCAAATATCACCTTGAGTGGAAGTCAATGAACGGTCAGCTTTGTGCTCCATAGCATATAGCAAGCTCAATCCCCAGGTAACATTGTGAGGTAGTTGTTTTGTGACAAAGTCATCTAGTATGCCAAATAACCATCTCCTCCTTAGAAGTATATTCGCATGAACAAGAAGCTCATTAAATCTTGACTCGATCATCTGCTAACCGTAAAGTACATATTCAGGTATTATATAATGATCTATTTGGGAAGTTACATATTCAAAACTTCTCCTGCGGAAGTTTATAAATTCTACAATGAACAGCCTGATAGTTACATATAGAGTACAAAGGCACTGAAAATCAAACTGCTGACACAAACAAGCACAAGCAGCTTATGCAACAAAAGAATCAGTAGGCTGGATTTGCTGGACGAGATAAAGCATACACTAATTACTGTCTTCCAGCAGCAAGGTGCTACTAGGTTTGGAAGCTGCTATTAACTTTTATCATTAATGAGGAAATGAGACATTTGTTTGTTTTGTGATGTGGGATGTCTGAGAAGAGCTTCTCAGATCATCATTGAATTTTATTCCCTTGCCCTTTCTCTCTTTTCTCCCTCACTCTCCTTTTTGCCTACTTTATAATTTTAATTTAGACCAACCATCATAAGCTAGTGTTCCTATTTTTGACCACTTCCAGTTTTCAAGGGGTAGCTGAACTTGACATGTAAATGCTATAACCACTGAACTTCAACTTTGGCACACATTAGCACCGAAACTAAAGCCCTCGGGTATAAGTGATACAAATCAAAAGGAGTTACCGCTTTTTCTCGAGCACCACCTCCGAAGAAAGCAACAGATTCAGCATGGGTACGCAGCCTCTCGTGCATGAACCTGGGTAAAGTACAGTATGTTGTGTAAGAAATATACTTAAAGCACTAATGCTTTGCACAAAGTGAGAAACAAATTAACAATACAAGAAATGACCTAAAGCTCCCTTCGAGTTCTTGTTCTCGATTTCCTAGATCACCAAAATCTGGAGTGACACTCCTTAGAAAGCCTAAACCTAGTAGCATGTATGCATATAGTATAGCAACACCGCGGCGACCTGTTAACAACTTCATCCTCCACGTGAACCTAAAAAAGATTAAGCAACCCTGTAAATAATCAACGAGAAAAAATATAGAAACACCACAATGAACTGCCACATGGACTTACCATAAAATGTCGACAGATGGCTTTACCATTCCTGTAACCAACCCTGACAAATCAGTGCTTAACTTTTCCAGATCTTGTGTTAGTCTCTGATCTGCATCAATGGTATCTCCTGACATGTGAAATACCTGAAGCCACAAATATTAACAATTAATGACCATACACATCTACATCAATGGTTTGACAACTTTTCAGCACTGTCATTAACATTGATTGGTTTGTTCCCTGTAATTACTTGAGCACAAAAGGATATACAGCACATGAAATACAGACACACATCAATCCGTTATAGCTGGAAAAGTATAAGTTTAACACTATGGCTATCAAATTGCGGTGCTATGGCGGTGAAAATAGCGGTACTATAACAGTTAGCGATCCCAAGGAAAATAATGGTTCGCTAATAGTGGCGCTCTAATCACAGAAATTGGCCGCGATTTTGATTTGCAAAAGCGGTGTGAAAACCGCAATTAGGAGTTGGGCTTTCAGGTGGCCTTTTAAAGTGTTTAGAGGAGTCAATTAAGGGACTACAAGCTACGGGGATGATTTCGATTTGCAATATCGGTGTGTAAACTCGCTATTCCTTTCTTATGTCCATTTTTGCATTGTCTTCTACTCTTCAGCATCTTCTCTTCATAACAATATCGTCTTCCAACATCGTTTGCTCATCATGTCTATTCACGTGTCCTTATGTCCATCTTCAATATATCTAATATGTAATGTATGCATATATACATTTATGTATAATTGTAATTATTACATGAACTGCTATACCACCGATTTACCATTGCAATAACTGCTATATCAAATCATCATTTCAACTGCTATTTCAGATTTTGACCGCTGTAACAGCATAAATTGCAACTTATATTTGCTACTGCAATAAATTATTGCATTAGCTAACATGTAGGTAAAAAGCAGAGTCAAATACACAGCTTCAAGATTTATCGAGCTTTATAAAACCAAGACTTGCAGCATCCAAGAACTAGAAGTCAAAATTGGACAGGAGTCGATCAGAAAACCAAAGTCAGAATTAAGAAAATTCATATCCTGAAGACAGTAAAGAATTAGAAGTCTGAAGATTGTATTCATCTCGAACACACATGCACTTGTTACAATTTACAAAAGGTCAAGAGACTAAACATGAATATCAATTTAGAAATGCAAAATAGATATACACATGATATGACTGCAAATCTTCAAACCAGTACTCTGATAAAATTGAATTCAAAAAAGTAAAGATACTTTGAAATCCACATATCAAAAAATCTGGAAAGGAATCATGTTCTAGAACAAAAATTAAGAATATTCAATTTGCAATTAAACTGTTAACAATTAGCTTATTCCATATTAACACTATTTATGGACAGACATTCTGACACACTGAACTTGGATTATTTTAAAATAAAAAGGTAGCTTTTCACCAAGTACAAAGATAGATTTTAAACTCAAGAGTATATAAGAAGAAAAAACTGTATGTGTTTGCACTTCCAAACCTTTAGACATTGAAACTCTTGAGCTTCAAAATGTAAATAGATTCATTTGACAGACACTAAACTATAAGGCTCCGCTTTGATCTTATACACAGTCATGACAGAGACCTGACTATGTCACACTTGGCATGATGGATATATTTTCTTGTTGACATTTGGTCATGTTATATATCCCATATTTGGTTCATAAACTGCTTTGATTTAACAAAGATACAAAGATACTATATTTAATAAACTATCACTTAGTTTGTATGAATGATTCACGATACATATTCCATGTAAAATTGTATCTTGTCTTAAGTATACCCTCAATCAAATTATTTGTGCTAATGAAATGGAGAACCCTTAACTATTGTATTGAGCAACACTTCATTGATCTTTAAGTTTCAATACCATTCATGGAAGAGACCAAATTATCATAAAATGATGAAACCAGATTTAATATAAACATATATTATATGATTATCCCTACAGAACTCTCATGTACTTATTATTGTTTTAATTTGACAACAGAGGGGAGAAAGATAAGCACAAGGGTCTCAACTCTCAAGTGCACGAGATCACATGTTGAGCTCTTCGGTTTTCTTTTTTAATCCTCCTATTGCTTATTATTGTGAACAAGTCCTTCAATCAAACCAGAGAAAATCATTCTGCAACATAGTTGCGGTATTTTGAAACGGCTTCTTAGAATTGAATATTATATGATATAAACAACGAAATCTTAGAATTGCTAAATTGCATATTGTGTTATGTAATCGGCTAATAGCAACACAAAGCTCACAATGTGGATGCAAAAGTAAGTCAGAGGCTAGAACTTCAGCCAAACACAAAAAGGACAAATACATGCAGCCTCCTTCACGAAGAAAATTGAATCTAAAAAACAAAGTCAACCAAAAGGTCGAATTCAAACATTTCACATATTCAAGGCGTGAGGACTCAGTGTTAATTATCTATGGGTGCAATCCCTCACACATGCACTTAAAATGATTTAACAAAACCGAATAACCAAATAAACAAGATTTTATTAATCGTTCTATGCAGACATTGGAACCATAACAGCACAAACACGAGAATCACAAGTCAAGAGGAAAAATATCCAACTTAAAAAGATGGGTTTCTAAAATTTAGATGGATCTAGGTGGCTGTTGAAATCAAGAAAATAGAAAGATGTTCAGAATAATTAATTTGCATGTACACCACTAATTCTTTGCTTAATTCGCAAAATTACAAATGTGCATCGAATAAGCTGAATCTTAATCGTTTTGGAACAACCATTGGACTGATAACAGAGACTTTTAGCTCAGAAACAGATGCTCACATGGACAGGAAATTTTACTTGCTTCAACACTTCAATAATAACATCAAAAATAGAAAATAAACTCTTGGGCTTCAAATCACGTTGAGATTAATTAGAATTCTTACACAGGTTGGGTTCCAGTGAGAAGAGAAGTTATCGTGAGAAGCACAAGAAGAGTTCTCCACCCTTGATCAATCCTAATTGAATGTCAATACTAATGAGGTGCAGCGAGATGCATCAATTCCCTTCTAAAATGCAATTCATGAGTGGGCATGAGATTAAAAGTGATCAACAGTTCAGATCTCTTCTTACACTTCTCACCATAACTTCCCTTCTCACATGATCCTTCGCCTCTTACACACTATGAAGAGGCAGTAACAGACCCATTTAGTATTATTCATTTGGTGGAAAGCAAGTTTGTGATGCATTATTTGTACTCCCGGAACATGGTAAAGTGAAACCAGGAACAATTTCCGGGAGACCTTCAGAGTATGTGGAACAGAGTACTAAGGCAGAAAAGGAAAGAAACATGCACACCATATGGTCATTCTTCACAATTTTAACAAGCAGGATCTAGGATGGAACAATTTTTCTTTTGAACATGAGATGCTGATCAAATCACCTTTTAGAAAAATCTGTCCGCAATACAAAAAGAATACATCGGAAAGCTATGTGAAAATAAGAACACTTTCCAGAAAGAGAAGTAAAACTTAAGTTATGAAACATCACCTTGTAATACGCATTCTTCCTCAGGTAATTCTTCAGTAAGTGTGAAGTCAAGCGAATCCTCCATCCAAGTGCAAGCCTGGCAGTCAAGTGCCTTCATAACAAATACAAACACCAATCAAATGTTGGTTGTTAAAAAAGCATTAGGTGCATAATATAAGCTGCCTACTGCACAGAAGTATGCCATGGAGCAGGTTCAAGCTCACTCAACGAGAATATCAATTAAGAATAATTACATGGTTTACTAGCTAATATCATGGATAATACATGCTTTACTATCTACTATCATGGATACCATTTGTTCAAAATTCTACCTCCACAAAAGTGGAATAAAAATATGCTTCATCTATTTTGTAGACATTTATAGTCCAGGGCTTAGGGAGTGGGTTTCCAAGGTATCGAACATTATTGAGCCTAGCAACGACCATATAGTTGAATTATGGAATCGCCGACTAGTGGACCCAATTTAACCTTGTTGAACAATTTTATCTCCTCCATTCTCCCATGTTGGAAGCTAGATATCAATCAATCCCAACATGACAAGCAAACATATAGCACTGCTCCAACCATTACCAAACTAATACCTATTCTGTTTAGTACTCATGTGCTTCTGTTGCTAAGAATGTAAATCCAGTTGCAGATCAATTTCAACGAGCCTTTCAACCTGGAGTATGCATAACAAAAACTGTGGAGAAAATTGACAGCCTTCTGCAAAGTAAAAAACAGAAAAGAAAACTAGCAATAGGTTGTAACTGGATCACGTTTATTCCATATGTGTCCTCCTCAAGACTCATTAGATCGCCCTAATTGTGATTTGGATGCCTGCTCCTCATGACTGGATTGTTGGCCCCCTCATATCTATCATAATATCTCCTCTAAAGAAATCTCCATGCAGCATTCTGACAGATTGAGAAGGCTACTCCTCATGATTGTCACAGTGGTAACCATTAATATAATGCAACCAGAAAGCAGAAGTATCATAGTTCATGTGTTTGGGAAAAGCCACAAACATGTTCAACATTGTCAGTGCAAAGTAGGTCTAGCTATCACCTAGGCACGTCAGATCCAATATGTGTGTTAGCAGCGGTAATCCAGATCTAGTTGTGTTTCACTATGCACAAAGCTGATGCTGCAAATAGGAAATGCTTTGTTTGGCACGATATGATGGGTATTTCCCCTACAGGCCCAGCATGCTATAAAAAACTAGAAACAGAACAGATGGAACAGATTGAAAGTTGAAACAACAAAACTACTTGGAGGTGTAACGCAGGTGAAAACACAACATTAACAGAACACGATATCCTGAATGCCATGAAAAACGTTGTGGCCTCACCGCCACACCATGCTTCACGTCACTTAGAGCGTTGGGCTATGGATTGTGTTTTTCACCTTATTTGCTATGTGTGGGGCATCCTTTTCTTGCTTTTTCCTATGGTTTCGTTGTACATTATTGTTACTTTTGCTTAATTATTTTTCTCATGTCGCGCTCACCTCATGCTAGTATTTATTCTTTCTAGCTGTTTGAACACATTATTCCACAAGGAGGGGGTCTTCACGGAAACAGCCGCTCTACTCTTTTGGGGTAGAGCTCAGGTCTGCGCACATCTCACCCTCCCAACACCTACTTTTGAGTGGGATTTACTGGGTCAGTTTTGTTTGGTTTGGTATTCAAAAAAGTTGTGATTCTTGACCACAAGGTTGATTGTCATCTTGCAGAAAAAAAAATACGTTGTCAGCACAACTTATCTTCCATCCATTGAACATGTTCTTATTGAAATTGGGTGTCAATTAGCATATGCAATGACGAAATCCCAAGAAACCCAGATTGACGTGATACCTGCCAAGTGACATAATTCATATTTACACAAGTAAAAGTTCTAGAATCAAACTCATTGAACAGTTCGATCCAACTGTCCTCGAAATTCCTGGCCCTCGAAATATACAATGAATAAGCTGAAAAATGACTCCAAATTACAATATTTTGAGGTTCTATTAATAAGAAAACAATCATGAGAGAGAGTGACTGTCATTATATAAGGCTTCAAGGTGATTCAAGGCATCGTTAATTTTACAAATCTAGTCATTCTATACCATTTCTGAACCATCGTTTATTTAACGAGAGGTTGTGGAGGGAGATTTGTGGATAGAAAACTCCTACTCATTGGCATGCCAAATCCGTAACCCAATATGTAGCAAATATAGAGAAACAAAGAACCGTGAACTGCACTAGTAGCTTTAGGTCAACGTGTAAGTAAGGTTAACTTTAGGTCAAAGTAATTTTGTCATCAAAAAGGTCAAGAAAGCCTTACAGGTTTCTCTCTCCAAAACCTTCCCACATTTGGAAGTCTTTTTGAAGAAAAAAATAGTCCATACTTTCCCTCCCGTTCCTTTCTTTTCACTTGTTGGAGTGCGAGAACACAGAAAACTTTAGGTTCTCTGTGTTTCTTTCCAAATCTTTCCCTTTCTCTCCATTGGAGAGATCCAACCAAACAAGAAGCAAAAGAAACAACAAATCACATGACCCACATGAGAATTATCAAACCTTAATCACAAAGATCTGTCAGAACTACAAGAATCATAGTCCGAATTTCACAAACTATAGTTACTTTCTGTGCCTCACCATATAACTCATCAAAAGAAGAAAATCAAAAGCAAAATGTTTACGACAAACAATTCCACCAACAATAATTCCAACAAGCCAAAGACCATTAATTAAACACAAAACAACCCATTAAACCAATCATCCTAATAAACTTCAATCAAATGGAAGTGTAATTGTCCCCAAAAGAAATATATGCTTGTTGTAAAAAAAAAAGAGCAAACTTTGAGTCTTCACAAAACAATTACTTTAGACTTGCAGCATAACATTAATTGTGGTGGATGCAAAAGAGAAATCCCAACATCATCGAAGGCATGTTAAAGTAGATCACTTTGAATTGAAATAACCATGAACGAATCATGACAATGTGTTAGGTTATCGATCACACAAGTTGTGCATCATGTTAGGATGCGTCACTTCAAGGGTGGCCTTTTATGGGCTAGAGTTTGTACCTAGAACTCTAGCACTAATATCATGAAGGAATGGGGCCCAAAAAAGTACGTATCCATCACTAACCAAGCGAACAAACATGTAGATATAATAAACCCTAAAAAACACAATAAATCATGGATGGGTATAAAATAATATGAATGACTTAGATGGATCATGGAGCTAAATGGCTTGAAAAGCACATTAAAAATGTGTATATCTAAGACGTTAAAACATTAGCTAGAATGTACACATCTTGGATTAGTTGAGCAAAAAGTGTCACATACCATAGCATTCAAAGAAAAAGAAAAATAAATAAAATAACAACAGAATCTGTTTAGGAGCATAAATGGTAGCACACACGAAAAATAGGTGTTCTCAGATTATCTTATCTTGTGAGAAAAATGGTGATGCGTGCATCGAATGATAACAGTGTCTGTTTTTTGTGCATACATTTTTAAGTCACAATAAGATGCTTAACTGTTTTGCTTTGTGCATCCAGGGATTCAGGCTCCTCATCCTGTCTCATCATAATATATGTTCATAACACACTAGAATTTTTTATTAAGGAGATTGTAACGGTTGAGATCTTTTATTTCAATTTTCCACGTTGTTAGGCAAAAGGTGTCACCTCTACATTGAACATTCTTTCACAAATATCACTAGGATTTCTTCCCAATGAATATTGCCAGGTATACAAAAATGAATGGTCATTCAGCATTTTTTGTTTCTTCTTTTCAGGGTTTAGCAACATAGCTTGCCTAGAAGATTTATGTCTAATATGCTTCAAATCTTGTTGATGTTTGGAGAAAGATCATAGATACCTTAAAGAAGGTGCGACAAATGAAGAAGCAGCACTTTGAAGGACACTAAAGCCAATCAACCGTATAAAGGATGCTTTATCTTGCTCCAAAACATATTTCACGGTTGTTCCTGTGAAGTCCAAGCATTGATGATCAGAGTTTGTGTAAACGTAATCATGAAAAAATGCAATAGCATGATGATATACGATCTGATATTAAAGTACTGATACCATTTAAAGAAGCTATACGATCTGATATTAAAGTTCTTGAGACCACAAGAACGGCAACAGCAAGAAGTTGTGCTCCCTGCTTATCAAGTACTGTGGGCACCTAAATTAAGAATTACGAAGGTCAAGCAGATTATCTGAGAATTCACATGCATCCAGGTATATATACTTTCGTGACATGCATTTACAAGAAAAGGCCAATTAACTAGGGCATCGTATAAAGTTTCATCATCGGCAAGTGCCAAGTGCCTAGGTTTTTCAATGTACTGAAATGCAAAATGAGAGCAGAGATACAAGCCTTGCAGAGGCACCAAGGGTGTGTTTATTTTTCCAAATCAAGTCTAAATCAGCACTTACATCTTATATGGCCAGACATTTGTTCAGACTGTTTTTTCTCATTCAGATATGAAATTAGAAAGAAAAAACACATCTGAACCTTAGTGCAACAAAAAAGTCTGAACCTAAAATTAAGATATGGAAATCTCTTGCCACATCATGAGTCACAACCATCGACTCTACAAGCTGACACCAATCAACTTCATCGGCAAGTACTGAGAGAGGGAGAGAGTCTGTTTTAGTAAAAAAGAGAGGAAGACTGATGAAGAGAGATCCATTTTGTTTTTAGAGAGACGAAGAGAGTGGTCGATTTTTTGCTCTTTTTTTTGGCTTTCTATTTTTTTCGTTTTGTTAATTTGATTTTCTTTTTCTTTTTAGTTTTTTTTTTATAATTGAACTTATTTAGTAATTTAATGAAATATTAAATTCAAAAATCTAATCTTATTGCTAATTCAAAAGGGTAATTGAACAAATGCATGCATTCAATCACTTTTTAAACAGTCTAAATGGTTCAGTCTTGAACAATTAAAAGTTGCCTCTTGATTTATATGGGTTTTCAGATTTCAGCCTTTAGCACTTGATAAAAGAAATAGCCCCTAATAAGAGCAGCAATAAACTATTCTGCTATCAAGTTCAGGGTTATTAGACATGGTATCCAAGGGAAACGAGGGAAGGTATCCAATGAACCTAATGTCCATAAGTTATGTACTATCAATTAAAGATGGATTTGTATTTATGTACTATGTGGGCTTTTATTGCATATTAGGATTATAGTATTTTGGGTTACTTCAATTTTCAGGCGATTTTATATTTGATTAAATAACTGGAAAAATAGACTGGAGTTTTGCTCTAATAACTATTTTTCCATTAAACTACAAAATATCTCAAATACATTAAAAAGCTTCCCCGTCATCACCACCACCTCCAACCATTGCAGCTCACTTCTTCATTATTGAACTATGCACCCTAGTACAACATCTACCTTAACATTTACCTCCTACACCCGGCCTTCCTCAGCAATGTGATATACTCGTAAGAATCACAGAAAAAGATTGTATTGAATCTTCAAAGTTTACATGGTAATTCCAGCTTTCGAGAGGTCGGCTCTCTCCCCACTTTAACCAAAGTCTACAGAACCTGAATCCTCTCATTTCTTCTCTCCCCTCTCTTAATTATACCCCCATTCCACTTGCAAAATGTGACAAAAGCACCAACATAAGTATTATTCTCCTGCACCAAAACTATCCTAATTACAACTACCCTTATCATATTCATTAGACTTATTACTTACCCCTGTGTACATATACAAAAATGTATAGCAGGTTTACCAACCTCAAAACATTATGAAAAGAATGAAGTCATTTTTTTTCATGCTAGTTAAACTTTCTGGTATTTTATATTAGCTGTTTCTGAGCTACTTTGTAGTAGTGGTGCAGAGAACAGGAAGGCCGAGAATACCTACTACAGGAAGACACAGTCAAGAGTAAACACATATATATATAGCATAACCCATTAAAAATATATATAGCATGATAACCACTAGATGGTTTGTTTAATAACAAACACAGAAAATTATCCAAACAGATAGTCAGGAATTAAGACAAAGGAAAAATTCCAGCGCAGATTATACTTACCAGTATTTTAAACATGGCAGCAATTCTTAATGGCAATGCCCGGGGATCATTTTGCAGTTGTGGGACAACAGGCAACAAGGTACTAAGATCCTCAGCTGGAGACGCAGCTATTAACTCAGAAAAATATGACTGAGACTTTGAACTGGAAAAAGCAGAATCCTGCAGATCAAAGTTTGAGGTATGTTACGCTAGATGTAATTGTATAAATAAAATTCTAGAAGGTAAAACAAAAGAACCCGCACATTTCTTGTAGCAAATGCACGTTGAACTGCCATTGCGTCACTTTGACGTTCTGTTTCAGATGACTTCAATTTAACAAATTCGATATCAGTACCACTACGGACACGGGAATCCTCCCTGTAGATTATTATAAACTGTAAAAAGCAAGCAATGATATATACAGTATACACAACTGTAGAAAACGTTTAAATAAAAATAAAGATGACTTGGGATCCAACCTTTTGTCGTGAACTCTCCAACCCCCTTCCCCATCCAACGACAGTACCACATCATGGAACGCAACAAGAGCAGGCCGGTGAGATATAGTGATGCATGATGTTCCCATTGCTCGGACTTTGGCACAAAAGCGTTCTTCCATATCAGTTGTCACGGCACTGGTACATTCATCAAGAATTGCAAATCTGGGTTTGTGATAGAAAAGCCTTGCCATTCCCAGTCTTTGTTGCTCCCCAAGAGACAACTCCTCACCCCAATTTATCTCTTTTTCAGGTGGATAACGATTTAATAAATACTCAAGGTCAACCTGTTAAGAGGGGAAAAAACCCACTCGCATTGTGTCATATTGTCAAGTGAGAAAAAGAATTCACAATAGATGCTTCAGACTGAGAAAAATAGCATAAAACCAAAGTTCATACATTTTTCAATAGCTCAACCATTTTGCTGTGGGTGAGAGGTTCAACTTCTTGATCCGCAGTAAGAGGATATATCAACTGGTCACGTAGTGTTCCTACAGCTGTATACGGTCGTTGGGGAACATAGAAAATCTCTTTATTGAGATCAGAACCAACCCCAGGTTTTACAATATGTCCAGACACCAACGGCCATAAGCCTCCCAAAACTCGGAACAGTGAGCTTTTGCCACTACCATTTGGTCCTGCATAAAGAACAACAGGGGGCATGTCTCTCTTATTTGAAAACAGTCATCCAGAATCTGTAGAACTATAGGCACATAATGAACGAAAATGGAGGACAATTTTGAATCAGTTGTTTGCCTGTCACTTTAACTGGTATTTTAAACGTAAGCCTGGCGACAAACGTTGCAAACACCAAAACAATAAAAAGAAGTATTAAATATGGCCATAAGGTGGGAATGTAACATTAAAACCTGCTTGAGATTATGTACATCATGCAATTGTAATAGCAAGCTGAAAATGTGCATCACCAACATAAATTTCTATAAAAGGATTATGGACCTGATTTGATAATCAAAACCTCCTATACGTAACATAAAACTTCATATGAACATCGGCAGGCGCTTTGAAGAGGTAACTAAGTAGGATTTATCATAGTTATGACTAATATGTTGGACAGATCTGAAGTGTGGTTTGACTGTCCTCACTTATTGCAAGGGCCACACAGCAATTAAGGGTCATATAATTTAAAGTTAACAATTATGACACTGTTGTTAAACTGTCTACATTAATTTACAAATAAATGGCATAACAGGAGTTGCAACTGTAAGAAACAATGGCCTTCTCATATATTGTATGCACAATGATCAAACTTGCACACTGAATCTTTCATACATGCAACCCAAGAAAACCATAACATGATATTCCTTTACAGTTCTAGAAGGGGTTTTCCCTTCCACCAAGTGGTTGTGCAATGTAAAATAAGAAACAAGAAAGCAAACAATGGCAGGAAAAAAATGATGATAAACCATTATAAAAGAATCTAGTGCAACAGCTATAAATGCTGCATGAATCGAACAAAGAATGCATGAAATTGATTTCTGACTCTACTAGAACGCAGTCAAATCTGTTGAATGAAAATAAAATATCAACCTATTACAAGAACAATGTTTTACAAGAAGTAGAGTTGCCATAAGAAGATTAATTAATATACCTGTGATTAAAAGATTAGACCCTGATTCGACCTTTAAAGTCAAGTCTTCCACCAAAACATTGCCACTTGGAGTAACCACCTGGAAAAAAAATCGTTTCAAAGACAGGTAACAGATTTGCATCCAAGATGGGGAACAAATTTTCAGCTACCTTCACTCCATCAAACTCTATGTAGTCTGCCTGAGTTATATAATTCTTACTCCCTCTCCTTTGCAAAGACGGTACATCTTTTGGACTTAACTCTCTAGATATAGCCATAAGTTCGTGAATACGATCTGCAAAGCCACTGCAAGTTGAAAAGACTAAGTATGTGAAAAGTTATTTTCTTACCGAATTTTCCCTTTCCTTCAGAGTACTAGATATATAATGAAGTTTTCTGTTTTTTGATACAAGAACAGGTGTTGATCAATCAACATATACTCTGCAAGCATTCTTCTTTTACCTCCATGAGTTTATAAAATAAAGACATGAGGAACTCAAAAGGCAACAAGATATAGAGTACTCTCAATCAACATAGCATCAGAGAATAATCATCTTGCTCTTTTTGGATAGATAATCTATTGCGACAAAAAATAGACCAAGGAAAATTGTTGATGTTCTCCATCTACATAACTGATTTTTTCTTTTATCAAGTCATCTATAGCGTAGATTCTACTTTAGTGAATCCATAGCGACCATCAATCTTAGCATCAAAGTCACCACAATTCCTTGATGTTATAAAAACATGTGACCTAATAGACGTTATCTCTCCTCATAATTTACAATCTCTTTCTCCATAAAAAAAAGGATTTATGAACTTGATTGAACACATTGATTTCATACAAATTCTCTTCTAATTTACTCAATAATTGAACACACTGATTTCATACTTGCTTTATTATTTACCTAGGGGAAATCTGCTGTGTGATATATGTTTCTCTTTGTCAGAGAATAGACACTGTCTTGTGGAATATGCTGCTACTATATCTTCTATGACAACAAGAATAGACACATTTGTACTTGTGATGTACTAAAGAGGTTATGTGGAAGAATAGTTCCTTATCAGTATCTAGGTGATGTCTTGGTAATTTCACTTGTCGATTATAGAAGTGGGTTGTCCATAGTTCCTAATCCTTTTCAGCTCTGATTGGCAAGACAGCCTACTTCTATAGTATTAGAATAGCATTGACAGAAAAAGAAACAACATTGACTAGTGATTTTAACATTTTCTAAGGAAAACAAGTCTTGAAAGACTGAAAACTAAGAGAAAATCAATACCTTAGACGATTAAGCCGTCTGGAACTTATGGAAAGAGTTCCCAAGGACTGAAATAGTGATATTATCACACTGGTATGGTATCTCAGATTGCTCAACATCTCTGCCCGTCCTAATGTTGAGGTGTCCGGTCTCAAAGTGCCAGAAAAGAAAGGCTCTATGATTAGGATAACAGCAACAGTAGCACCAAGATACTTCAATAAGAAATCCTGAACCATGCCAAACCACCAATGGTCGTGAAGGACAACTTTCAAATGATGGACAAGTGCCTTAAACTTCTGCTGAATATGGGATTCTTCTCTAGTTTCACCACCATAAAATGCTATGCTTTCTGCATGAGTCCTCAACCTTGAATGAAGTTGTCTATACTCACCTTCAAGTTGTTGTTCTTTAGACATCAATTTACCAAATGCAGGAGAGAAATTTCTGATGGTGGCTCCTGCTCCTAGCACGTAAGCCTGAAGGTACCATTAGATGCAGAGATAAGTCGATGTTTACATTTTAGAATATGCATGCAACTAGGTTAAAAGAACCTATATAGTGGTTTTACTACACTAATGCAGACCCGCAAATAGTTGACAAAACCAGTCGTCCACACAACCCTTATCACCCAGCCAATACACAACCACGCACATACACACCCCATGTTATAGTACAGAGGTCAAACATCATCAAGATCTCCTCAACCCTATATATAAATTGACTAGTTAAGCACGATGCAAATTGAGCTTTACCAATATCCAAACTATATACTTTGGGCTTGCATAAGAACACAGGCGCCAGGAATATAGCAGGCCGTCAGTAACTGCAGTAAGATCTTCCTGTACAAGATCACTCAATTCTGAGCAGAACCTTGGTACATCGCTCGCTATTCTTTGCTCAGGATTAGTTATTCGGCCATCAACATGGGACATTTTGTAGTATATCATGTTCTGGAATCCAAACAAACAATTGGCAATTAGAAACATCACATTAAAGAACCCAGTTCAGACTAAATTATATTATGAGGCCCCGCAAGGGGGAAATTAAATCAATGGAAAGACATAATGCACAGAACTCAAACATCAGACTAACAAATAGAATCGATGTAACTCTAAATTCCTAAAACAAGGATTACATGCTGTAGTCTTCTAATGAAGACACATGTATCAAACGAGCAACAACAATTAGAGGATCTGGCAAGCACTGTAATTTTAGTTTTTCTCAATGGACACCCCATGTTCTAAAGGTCGAAGGGAAAAACTAATAATAATCAAAACACAGCAAGGATGACGATAAATAAGTAAGATACTCCATCGGTTCTGTGAAATGGCAATGAACACGTTTGGCATGCAAGTTAGAAGCTTATTGGTCCACTTTAGCATAGTGTTCTAATAACCAAAACTTTTTCCAACCTTAGATGCATGTAAAATGGCATTGATGCAGTTCCCATATAAAACTTTCAAAGAAGGATGACACTTGTTATTATTTATAATTTTAATTTTCAATATATCCACAATTAACCAGGTTCTGTGACAATTAATGAAATGAAGGAATTTAATTACAGGAAGGTTAAATAAGATGATTGATAATCCAAGATCCAGGCAGTTGCTGGTCTGATCCTAGTAGCAGTAAACTCTACTGCTTTATTGACTTGTTACAGCAATCTGATTTTCCAACATCACTTGGCAGATCCAATGAGTTATCAGTAACTTCTTCGCTAATTCTCTTTTATTTATTGAGAGAAGGTTGGCTAGTACTGTTCCATATAGGACAATAAATCATTATATATGTATTTCTTATTTATGGCTTACTTTATCTACGCCCCAGCCCACATTTGCACAGGATATCTTGTGTTCTCTATTGAGTAAAATTTATCTTCCAAGTATTTACTTTTATGACTACTCAGTTTTCTTCCATGTGTAGAGAGAAGAAATTCATTTTGGTATTCAATGTTGGCAGCATAGTCATTCATGGAGATGATCAAGAGGGAATTGCAACATTCTATGAATTCCAGACAAAGGACCAAGGGTCTCAAGTATTTTTTGGGCATTGAGATTCCAAAACCAGGGCATTTTCCTATGTAAATGTACACATGTCCTTGACTCTCGCACAGATTGGTATGCTTGATAGTCAGCTTGCTGATTCACCAATGGTCCCTAATGTCAAGGTTTACCCCAATAATAAAGGGCTTCTGGACAATCCATAAGATTGCTCGGGAAGCTGAACTATCTCAGTCACAAGAATGATATTACCTTATCAGTGAGTGTAGTGAGCAAGTTCATGTTTGTCCCCTTGGTACTCACTCAATGGATAGCATTAACACATATTTAATAACTAGAAATATAAAATTAACAAAACTTATCCTAAAAACTTGATCAACTGATCCAGAAAAACCATATTCAAGTGGCGTTTGGTTCAAAGAAAATTTGTGGAAGGAATGGAATGGTCAAAGGGAATTCATCCAGAAGGGGATTAGAATGGACTTAAAAGTGGTCAACTCAGGCATGTGGTTGGCTTGGAACGTAACGAGATTACTATTTTATTCCTTTTCCATTTCATGTTTGATTCATAGATACATCTTTTGAAATGGAAAGTAACTATGGTGAGTGTGTAGGTTTCCCTTGATTCACTAATATACTTTAAAAAAAAGTAATAATGAGAAAATACAAATAATAAACAAAATTAAAACAAATATACTAATAACAAAGAAATAAGAAGATGATAAAAACTGAATTCCCTTGGAATTGGTCATTAAATAGATAGGACAAGGAATGACAAATTCCTTCATCCCGCGTAATTGATCATTCTTATGATATTTAAATTCCATCAAAATAATCAACCAAACATGATTTGAATCTGGTCAAACAGAATTCATAATTCCATTCCATCACTTCCTTGTGAACCAAACATCCCCCCAATCGTTTTGCATTAAGTAGACTATGGTTATTATGATTCACCCTTCAAGTTATAAAGAAGAACATTCAACATTCAAGAAAATAGAATCAAATCTAACCCACAAGATCAGTGTTCGAACTAACTAGAGTACGTTACAAATTACTGCAACCTTAAATTAGATAAGAATAAGCAATAGATCATATGTTGAGCATGTATACATATGCGCACGCACACACACATATATATAGATAAGCTTGTGTATTTTATGTATAGATGTAATACAAATCTGCTTTAGATATTAGAATCTAACCTGAAAATATTGTGCATGAATAAGCTTTGTTAGTATTTTTCTGAACCTCAAGCTTAAGGTCCCTGTTATATACTTCGATGTAGAATTCAAAGCTGATTGAACAAAACATAAGGTAATGTTTTCAAGAATCAACTGAACAAAGGCCGGTACGCGTCGAAGAAAAGCAGCACGAAATAGAAATCCTTGAACTTTCGCTAACCTATTGCTCACAGCAGTTCGTAACACCTGAACGAAATACATGACATTAAGTATAGATCTACATATATGGCTGGCTACATGTATAGATTTACATGCATGGATAAATTTTCTCCTCAGGGAAAAAGGTAATCACAAAATGAGAGCATGAACTGATTAAACATTCATAAAAGTTACCTCTACGAAGTATTGGCTTAAATATCATATCATCATGAATTCACTCCCTAAAGAAGGATTCAATACATATAACAGCACAGCTTTAAAAAATTACAGGAAAAGTGCAAATGAGTTTTCATCAACCCCAGAGAAGACTCTTTTCCATTAGTGTGCTAACAATGTTAAGTTCTCAATGTACAATGTTATATCCTGTATTTAGGTTCAGTTGTAATCTTTTGATTGCTACAGGTCCACTTTCAATCAATAGTTTTGGAATGCCAATACAATGCAAATACAGGTTATGTGTTTGATCATGTCAGTTCTTTTCCGTCACAACAACTGCAGAGGTATTAACCATCTCATCAAATTGTATTATCTGGATCCAAAAGATAAATCAATATATACCATTGGCATTGTTGTAGCAAGTAACATTTTCTTTAATAACAAAGAGAAACTGCTTATAGATCAAAAAAACAAAATGAAGAGTATACATATATGGACGGATGAGAGAAAGGAAAAAGAAGTATGATATTAAGGAACACTAAAAGAGGATAACAAACGAGGCAGCATTCACAAAAAACTAGCTGGAAGTTTAGATTGAAGGAGAGGATTACCACTGTGGCCAAAAGTGCCAAAAGATCCCTTGCACCCATCCTCCCCATATGGGATAAGAGAATTGCAGCCAGAACCTGGAGCGATTTTAGTCCTTTCTTTTGCCTACTTCTTCTAATAACACTATTGTTCCCAACATCCAACTCTGCTTGTTCATCTTCATCTCCCAATCCATTGGATTGACCAGTTCCACTGGGCCTTCTACCCCTGCCATGTGATTGCACATATGCAGCAGTCCCACCAGCAACTATAATGCCAGTGGCCAGCAATAATGTTCTCCTAAGATGAAAAAAAACAACCAGTAAATTTACAGAAACTGTAGGAATAAGGTATGACAATATATATCACAGGAATAGTATTAATTAGGGGTCTATCCCAGCAAATTAATATACAAGAGTAAGACTAAATTCCAACCAAATAACTATTCCTTGCTCTAGCCACAGCACAATCAGATTCTGGCTGTGTGTCTTGATGGAAACTTACCTATATTCCTAGCCAAGCAAGAGCAGTTATCCAAATGACCATTTGAATTGTTTCCAGACAATCACCACAAAGCTAGAATGCAAATGAATAAGATACCAAAAACACAAGTTTTTACCATTGTAACAAAACTCATATGTTTAGTAGGTTAAAAGAGGACAAATTCCATGAAAAAGTAAGTAACATACTCTAATTTGATTCCTATTTTGGATAACGTACTTTCAAAACTTCCATTTTGGTATCTAAGATGTAAAGTTTTAAACATTTAAGTACCGGGGTAAGCAGTCGAAGCATTAACCGGTTATCATGTTGATGTGGCGAGTGATGTGGTATCCAACTCAGTATTATTTGCTGACGTGGTTAGTGACATGGATTTTTTTAATCTAAATTTAGTCTTGTTTTAATCTAAAATTAGTCTTCAAGCGGTTACCCGGGCACTTAAATGTTTAAAACTTTACATCTTAGGTACCAAAATGGAAGTTTTGAAAGTACGTTACTGAAAATAGGAATCAAGTTAAAGTACGTTACTTTTTCATGCAATTTGCCCTTTAAAAGAAATCAATTGTGTAACAAGGTTTATGGTGTATACTGAAATGGTTTTGTTATAACTTAGATGTTCAATAATCCCTTGATTAGGCACAAGTCAAAAGGAATACTAACTGTGCACCATCCCAAAATATCATTTCTTAACTTCAAATTATACCACAAACAAAGACCCAAATGGCCATCGATACAAAAGAAACAATGTTTAATGTATATATTGAAATGGTTTTATTTATAACTTAAGAGTCTTAGATGTTCAATAATCCCTCCATTAGGCCCTCGTTGTTCATGAATACTAGTTATCCACTAAAGTCAAACACACCCCTTATTTCTTACTTTCTGTTATACCTCAAACAAAGATCCAAAAATCCATCAAGTTATAAACGAAAATCAATCTGTTTTTTAAGTTTTTTAAGTTTTTTAAATAAGGAGCCTGGACTTCAGAGCATGAAGTAACTGAACCATGCTTCTATAGATCAAAAGGTATTTTATGTAGGATACTTGCATAAACTAAACCAAACGAGCCTAGGATATCCTACCTGGAGGTGGGATTTAGAAAATGTGATGTACACAGACCTAATCTCTACCCCAGGGAGCAGAGTGGCAATTTCCGTGAAGAAAAAAGAGAGCTTGCTCGATAATCGGGGAAATGGAAAATATGAATAAACAAAAAAGACTTGAAAACAAAAAGGGCAGATAGAAACAAGAGCAGGTACAAGAAAACATAACCAAGATAAGAATTACTACACACCCTAAGTCTAACCTAGAACCTAGAGGCCTAAGTACCTCCTCACTAACCCTACGCCCATCCTATCTCTCAAAAATCCCATCTTCCAGCCTACACTACCTACAGAGTACAGATTCCGACCCATTTACTGCTACCCTAGTCTGCATCTCCAAGAACTCCTATAAGAAGTCATGTCCACGGAAATGCCTGAAGACGTCGTGTCTAAGGCTAACCTCAGTTGCTCATCCCATGTCCTCCTCGGCGTACCCCTCCTTCAAACCCCCTTGTCCGACACACTTTCTACCCTCCTCGCCAGAGCCACCATTTGTCTCCTACAAACATGACCAAATCACCCGCAATCTTCAATCTCACAACTTATCCGTGATGTGCACAACTCCCAACGCCACCAGGTAATGTAATGTTGAAAACTCAATCAAATCAAATGAATGGACAGCCAAAACAGTGCTAACCTCTTTAAACAAAAATTACTTCAAACGTTTTCACAATAACTGAACTTAGTGATTCAATCTTTTAGATTCCTAAGAGACTCGAAAGTAAACCAAAAAAATTTGGGCATTAAAGGCCTACCATAAAGACCTCCCTAATTCAAAAGACAGTAGTTGCATGCCCTGTCAGTATTTCACTGATCACATGGTACATAGAACATAAGCAAATATTAAATTCAGCATTGCATAGGCTGCCATTTTAGGACATAACGTAAGAAAAGTACATCCAACACAAGGCTTGATAGCCAGCCACTATGATCTCACTCTGGATAGCTTAATAGTGAAGAAGATAAATCTGTAGAGATCAATTGTTTTTTTAAAGTCAAAGTCTGGATAGACTAGCTTTTGCATCTATTTTGGTCTATCATATTTTACCAAAACCCAGGGAATCAAGGTCAGAAGATAGTAGAACTGGCAAATTAGAAAATAACCAAAATCCAGAGAGCTAAAGTTTTGGAACCACAATTGTGACTTGTATGCATCAGCCACCTCTACCAAATATGAAGCTTGAAACAATAAACTTCAAGCAAATACAAATAAGTAGTAAAATAGAAGAAAGGGTCACTTAAGAAGATATGGTATTCTTCAATGTAACTAACAATTATTAGCTGGGCCAACAGTTCACCTATAATTGCAGTGGATTGGCATATTTTTGCAATGGTGAATAATGAAGTTACAGCCTTTAATATTCAAAAGCAATATCCATATACTGAGACCCATTATCATAACATCTGTAGATTATCAAATACTAATATAAAGTAAGGAACCATGAAAATAAAAAAGCATATCTGCAGGTACTTTTTCTGAACAAAAAAAAAAACCTACAAGGTAAATAAGTAAGTGTGCGCTATTGATCCAAGTAGTCAAATATGAATCAAGAACTGTCTACTAAACCATATTAATACCTGCGACCCGAAATCAGGCTACGACCCCGCTCCGTCAACTGTAATAGCTGAAGAGAAGTCATAGCTACTGTTCAAATCTCCCAAACTCCACCAGCAATGACGTCAATCGCTAGCTCGTATGGTACACCTGTAAAATAAAAATCCAAAACCAATTAGGGTTGATTGAAATTAAGTTGATATAGACTTAGAAAGAGCAAAATTAAAATCAAAGAGACATTCAAAAGTTTAAAAGACAAGAACATGATCGTACTAAAAAAGGGGTGAAGAATTTTGACTAAATTTGAATTGTGGGTGTTATTTTGATCGGAGTTTTGAGATTTTTCCGTGTGTGTTTCTATGCTTTTTTGGGGTGGGTTGGATCGGTGTTTTTGGCAGCTATAGAACCAGCCACGGCATATGGCAAATGAGGGGAGACGGAGAGGGTTATTTACATGCACCCTTCCCAAGGAATATGGTCTTTCTCATTTTATCCCATTTTTGGTATCAACAAACTAACGTGCTACCAAAACATCTTTTACCCTAATAATATATATATATATATATATATATATATATATATTATGTTTAGTAGAAGTGTATTCACACTCAAAGCCAGAAAAATAAAGACATCTGGGATTCTCTTGGAGAACCTGGAAAACATTTTGATTTCCTTGTTAAATACAATTCAACTCTTTCAACCCTTGACCTTTCACCTTCCTTTACCAAAACAGATATTTCTGTCCATACACAATCCCAATAAACTCATCATTTAGACTCCATCCAGCTTGAAAATACCCAAGACCAAAACCATTCTTCACCAAAAAATAAGAAAATCAAAAGTGAAGATTAGGAACGAGATCAATAATATTATTGAAGAAGTTATTAGAAATTTTATTCCTCAGCATACTGAAGAAAAAATTTCAAAAGACACAATTCTCGAAGACCGTTCAAGCTTTCCAGATCCAGATAAGAGAGACTACTGTTCAGACGGTGGATACTCTTTTGATTTGATTGCCAGACATAATCTCAATACCTAGAAGATCAAAGACAAGACAAATGGTGACAAAAGTATCAATCAAGAAAAAAATTCGTCATAATGCAGAAAACGACAAGACTCTCAGCTTTTGCAGACCAGATAATAACACTTTGCAGACTTTTATACACGTTTCAGTTTTTTGAAGATTCAAACTTTACGTTGTATTCTTGAGTATTTTTTACGAAGGAATGAGAGCAAAAGAAAAAATATGGTGTTCACGAGTTTTTTTATAAGGGAAAGAAAACAACATTAAGAATATTTATAAAATTACGTATAGGGGAGACCTTTTTTTTAGAACTATAAATTGTGATAACCTTGAAAATTAACAAATCATGTATTATTTCATATGATCTTTTTTCATCGAAAACCATGATTTAGAATATCGATTAACATATAGTTGTTTCACTATGTGTTTTTTATTTCACATGTACTTTTTATAATGTGAACATTTTTAGCCTGCATGCGAAACAAATAGAATTCTCCAGTGTCAGATCCCTTTAAAGAGCACAAATATATAGGAATTATATTCTTGTGTTGGAAGTTGGCTTTTGTTTTAGTATAGACAAATTTTGTTTTATCATTAGGCTTCATTTAGGTCCGAAGGTCGACCTATAATCATGTTGCTATTAGGAGAAGATTATTTAGTAATATGTCGTCTCATAAAAAGATTTGAAGGTAGATGATTTTAGGATTATATTTGATAGTGAACAAAAGTTTAAGAATTTATCATATGCTAACGCGGTTTGTGTTTACCTTGTGTTAGTACTTGAGACCGTATTTTATGGCAGATAGAAATCTTTGACCGTCCGTTTAGTATTGGAAAATGATTTATACCAAGCGCATTAGAAGTATTAGAAAACGAGGATGTAGAGGAGTTGGTCTAGGACCAAGAGGAGAAATTGGAGAACGAGGCCAGAGCAGCAGGTGCTCTGGAAGAATGGAGAGCAGAAGCTCTGCAGAGCCAGAGAGCATAAGCTCTAGTCGAAATGAGAATATTTCAAGGGTTGAGTCCTCTCAACCCACTTCTATAGGGGATTCCTCTTATGATCCCACAGAGGGATCCTATGAAGAGTACACTCCTGGAACGCCTGATCATACAGACCTCAAGGAGAAAATATCGACTTTGCAAGAAGAGAACGCCCAACTAAGGGCAGAGCTGTTAGTGGCCCAAGAAGCCAAGGACCAGGTCGACTGGTGGTTGAACAACGTGCAGAGGGAGCATGTGAAGTTAGGTGAAGAGTTGAACAAAGGTTTGACTGAGAATAATGAACTATGGGAAAACAACCACACCATGGCATGGAAGTGTGTAGAGCTGGAATGGGAGAGGAGGATTGTTTCACGATCATGGAGGGTGCGATTGGAAGATTGTGCTCGCTATTGTCGTGAGGTGGCCACGGGCTACTTGGACTCCACCAAGGAGTACTTCTCACGTTGGGCACAGCAGTTTCGCCAAGGCCCAAACTTGAGCTCTGTATGGAGGCATCACCCAGAGAGCCCTTATGAGGAGTTTGTGAGAATCACAAACTACCCTATGGATATGTCATGAGTAAGAGAATGAGGAGAAAATAGTTAGCATATGAATTGTGTGTGGCTAAGTTTTATTGCAATAAGTTGGCAACCTAGAGCTGGGATATCTTAGTGTTTTCTTTTATTTAGTTTATACTTGTTAAGTATGAGCCGATTGACATGATTATGGAATGAAATAAACTTGTGTTGGCGTTTAAATCTTGTTGAATGGTTGTGGAATGCTAAGTTGTATATAAGAATAGTTATTTATAATCTGTTATATGCATATAGTTAAGAAAGAAGGAATGTCTCAACGATCGAGAATGACTCTATCGGTCGCTTCTGATGCAAAAGAAACACCTCTGGTCGGGGCTACCCCTACTGTACCAGGGTGATACCAGCCTCTGCTGCGGCCACGAGGACCGCGAGCACTAGAGGCAGAGGACGAGGCAAAGGAAGATCGCAAACAAGACAAAGCGAGCTAGATCCCTCGGTACAAGAGAGCTTTGCATCGGGCAGAAGTAGAAGCCGAGGCAAAGGTCGCACACAGGTAGCGACCATCATCCCTGTGGACCTCATTGCTCAAGAGGTGTCCAGAGCTCCGCAAGCTGCTATGCCTGCTGTTATAGCACAAGTAAGAGAGGCAGAGCAGAGGAATGAAGAGGCTAGGGAAGCTAGCGTAGTAAGAGAAATGGTTAGCAACATCAACCATATAGAGGACCATAGAGAAAGGTCAAGAGCTAATAGTCCTGTCAACACTAGCATGGGACATAGGGGTTGTAGCTACAAACTTTTTTAGCTTGCAAACCCCAACCATTTCAGGGTGAGCCAAACCCAGTTACGACCCTGAGATGGATAAATGAGATAGAGATGGTCTTCAAAGTTAGCAAATGTGCAGAGGAAGACAAAGTGACTTATGCTGCTTCCATGATGAAGTTTGAATCCCTATTCTGGTGGGAAATAGTTACCAACTTAAGGGGCGAAGAGGTTATAGCAAGGATGTCATGGGATGAGTTCAAGGTGCTGTTCAACGAGAAGTTCTGCCCAAAGACTGTTGTAAAACAGTTGGAAGAAGAATTATCGAGGTTAGAACAAGGAAGCTTAACGGTCAGGGAGTATACGACCAACTTCACAGAGAAGGCTAGATTCTCAGAGCATTATGTCTCTACTGAGGAGAGACGGGTAGAGCGTTTCATATGGGGATTGAAAACATCCGTCAGAGAGTTTGTCCTCACCATGAAACCAACTACTTTCCAAGAGGTTGTGAATGCAGCCGAGGTTAGAGAAAAGGAAATGGTCCGCCAAGAATCCGAGCGAGGCCAGTTGAAGAGGAAATGGGAAGGTTCAAACAACGAAGCCCGAAGACAAAAAGCTGGGAACTCAGAAAGGAAGGTATGGCAAGGACAATCGGGCAAACCATGTCCTAAATGCAACCTTGTGCATAGAGGAGAATGCTTGGTTAAGCCCAGGGTCTGCTACCGGTGTGGGAAGGCTGGACACTTATCCTAATACTGCAGAATGGAACGAAGAGAGAGATTATGCTACATTTGCAAGTCACCCAATCATGTGCAAGCAGACTGCCCGCAAAGGAAAAAGGATGTTACGGCCATTCAAGTAGGAAGCAGAGGTGGGAAAGGAGAGGAACGACGACCAGAAGCACCAAGACCAAAAGGGAGGGCGTTCCAAATGACTGCAGCCGAGGCTGAGGAAACCCCGGATGTGGTAACATGTACCTTCCTGGTTAATTCTGTACATGCAAAAGTGTTGTTCGATTCTGGCGCGAATAAATCATTTATATCCACTATTTTCTGCCACAACTTGAATAGAGTAGCTAAGCCTCTAAGTTCAGCATTAGAAGTAGAAACTGCTGATGACAACAGGGTAGTGATTAAGGAAGAATATGATGACTGCATTATAGAGGTAGATGGTAGTTCTATTCCACTCAAGCTGCTCCCTATGACAYTAGGGGAGTTTGATATAATAATCGGGATGGACTGGTTAGCTGAAAACCAAGCYAGAATYMTGTGTAATAAGAAGATAATCCAGATTGAGGTACCGGGTAGTGGGAGATTAATAATCTATGGAGATAGAAGGGATAGGAAGGCTAGCATGATCTCCCTACTCAAGGCCAGACGATGTATAAAGAAAGGATGCCAAAGCTATTTGGCATATGTGATCAACGCTAAGAAGGAGAAGAGTGCGATGGAAGATATTAAGGTGGTAAGAGACTTCCCAGAAGTCTTCCTGGATGACCTGACCAGTCTTCCGCTAGAAAGACAGGTGGAGTTTCAGGTTGATCTGGTACCTGGAACTGCACCTATTGCCCGCGCACCTTACCGACTTGCACCATCAAAGATGAAAGAACTGATGACTCAGTTGCAAGATCTGTTGGACAAGGGTTTCATACGCCTTAGTACATCACCTTGGGGAGCTCCAGTGCTATTTGTCAAAAAAAAGGATGGTACAATGCGAATGTGCATTGACTACCGGGAGCTCAACAAGGTGACTATCAAGAATAGATATCTGCTTCTGAGAATTGATGACCTCTTTGATCAACTTCAGGGTGCAAGTTACTTCTCGAAGATTGATCTATGGTCAGGGTATCACCAACTGAGGTAAAGGATGAAGATGTATCAAAGACTGCCTTTAGAACGAGGTATGGGAATTATGAATTCCTGGTGATGCCATTCGGAATGACTAATGCACCTGCAGTGTTCATGGACTTGATAAACAGAGTCTGCAAACCATACTTGGATAAGTTTGTCATCATTTTCATAGACGACGTTCTTGTATATTCACGTACCAAGGAGGAGCATGAGGAACACTTACAGGCTGTTTTAGATCTACTAAAACAGGAAAAACTGTACGCGAAACTCTCCAAGTGTGAGTTCTGGCTACGAGAGGTGCAATTCCTCGGTCATATGGTGAACCAAGAGGGAATAAAGGTCGACCCAACCAAGATAAAGGCAATACAGAGGTGGGATCCACCCCGGAACCCTTCTGAAATTCGAAGCTTCTTGGGTCTGGCCGGTTATTATCGAAGGTTTATTCAAGACTTCTCAAAGATAGCTACCTCTTTGACAGCTCTTACTAGAAAGGAGCTAAGTTCGAATGGGGGACAACTCAAGACGAGGCCTTCAAACTCTTGAAGGAAAAGTTGAGCTCTGCACCAGTCCTCAATTTACCAGCAGGAACTGAAGGTTTTGTGGTCTACAACGATGCTTCTAAGCTGGGCCTAGGTTGTGTGTTGATGCAGCAAGGGAAGGTCATCGCGTACGCCTCCCGGCAGTTGAAAGAGCATAAGAGAAGGTATCCAACTCATGACTTGGCATTGGCAGCGGTGGTATTTGCACTAAAAATTTGGAGGCACTACCTCTATGGTGTAAAGTGCCAGATCTTTACTGATCACAAAAGTCTCAAGTACTTGTTTGATTAGAAAGATCTCAATATGAGACAATTAAGATGGCTGGAGTTGTTGAAAGATTATAATTGTGAGATCTTATACCACCCTGGAAATGCCAACATGGTGGATGATGCTCTAAGCCGCAAAGAAAGGGGTACTCCATTACGTGTTAAGGCTCTAAGGATGGAGGTCACCACTAGCTGGATTGAAGACCTGAAGAAAATCCAAGAGGAGGCCTTGGTAGAAGAAAACATAAGGAAGGAAAGGATGGTGGGGGCTAGTCCATTGCTGGAAAACAATAGTAATGGACTAAAATGTTATAAGGGTAGAATTTGGATTCCTCGTTTGGGAAATTTTCGTAGCCAAGTTTTGGACGAGGCCCATAAATCCCTACTCCATCCATCCTGGAAATAATAAGATGTACCGGGATTTATGAAAATCGTATTAGTGGCCAGGGATGAAGAAAGATATAGCTCACTATATTGAGAGATGTTTGACCTGTTTGCAAGTGAAGGTTGAACACCAGCGACCGTTTGGTAAACTTCAACCTTTGGAGATACCCATGTGGAAGTGGGACCACATCACCATGGATTTTGTGACTAAACTTCCCCAAACACCAAGAGGTTTTGATGCGATATGGGTAATAGTGGATAGACTCACCAAGTCTGCCCACTTTCTGCCTATTAAAGAGACCTACTCAATGGACAAATTAGCCAAGTTGTACATAGATGAGATTGTAACCCGACATGGGGTTCTATTATCAATAGTCTCCGACAAAGACAGTCGATTTACATCTACATTCTGGCGAAGCTTCCAAAGAGAGTTGGGTTCTCAAATAAAGCTTAGTACAACATACCACCACCCGCATACAGATTATCAGAGTGAAAGGACCATCCAAACACTGGAAGACATGTTGTGGGCGTGTGCTATTGACTTTGCGGGGTCATGGGAAATTCATCTTCCCTTAATAGAATTCTCCTATAACAACAGCTATCATGCGAGTATCTAAGTCGCACCATATGAAGCTTTGTATGGGAGGAAGTGTCGAACACCCCTGTGCTGGAATGAAGTGGGCGAAAAACAACTTTCAGGCCCAGAAATTATGCAAAAAACGGCTGACAAAATTCAGCAGATTCAGGAAAGGCTGAAAATTGCTCAAGATAGACAAAAGAGCTATGCCGACAAAAGGCGAAAACCAACAGAGTTTCAAGTTGGAGACAGAGTAATGTTGAAAGTCTCGCCTTGGAAGGGCATAATAAGATTTGGAAAACGAGGAAAGCTGATCCCTCGTTATAATAGCCCTTATCGAATAAAAACACGTGTGGGTGAGGTTGCATATAAGCTGGAATTGCCTGACGAGCTTCAAGGCATCCATATCACATTTCATGTGTCAACTATGAGAAAGTGTTTGGCGGACGAGAGCTCTACGGTAGCTCTGGAAGATATAGAGGTGGATCAGACTCTGAGCTACGTAGAAAGGCCAGAAGCTATATTGGAAAGAAAGGTGAAGAGGTTGAGGAATAAAGAAATCCCTCTGGTCAAAGTCCAATGGAAACATCATAAGGGACCAGAGGCAACGTGGGAGACAGAGAGTGAGATGAGAAAAAAATACCCTCATTAATTTACGTAAAGCAAATTTCGAGGACGAAATTTTGTTAGGGGGGAGTTTGTAATAACTTAAAATATTATTTGAGGTTTTTGAGAATCTTACTTTTTTTTTTGCCATTAGAACTATTTATGGTCTAGAATTGCAACCGCTATAAATGAATAAATTGGGTTTTTAAAATGGTATTAATTGCCTTGTAACCGACCAATTAAGTGGTAATTAATTCGTAAGGAGGTTACGAAGAGTATATATAGAGGTGATGAGCTAGAGATTAGTTCCTTACTAGCAAATAGAGGTATTCAAGAGCTAGAAGGCGAAAGCAGAGAATCGATACTCAAGAGTTNACAAAGTTTCGACTGAGAATATTAAACTCTGGGAAAACAACCACACCATGGCATGGAAGTGTGTAGAGCTGGAATGGGAGAGGATGATTGCTTCACGATCATGGAGGGTGCGATTGGAAGATCATGCTTGCTATTGCCGTAAGGTGGCCACGGGCTACTTGGACTCCACCAAGGAGGGGGGGGGGGAACTGTACTAAGGATTTAATCCTGAAAACAAGCACGTTGTGTGAAGCTTGTTAAGCCGTAAGAGCGAACATGCTGTGTGAAGTTCGCCAGGCAATGCTGTGTGATATAGTCCTTTCCCCCTTTTGTTTTCGGTAGTTTATGAACTGTGTGTAAACCGTTTATTTACTGGGCCTTAGGCTCACCAAACTCGTGTTTTTTTTTCAAAATAAAAAAAAATGCAATCAGGTCACTACACTTATGGGAATAGTAGCAAGTGCAAAGAGAGGGCGTAGCGCCAGGCTACGCGTGAAGATGATAAACTTGAAATGAAGCCTAGTCGTGACTTGTCTTGATGAAGAGTAGTCAGTTGTGGGTTTAAGCAATTGCTGTATGATCAGAAGAAATTTTTAGACTTCCACCGTGATTTATGTTTAAACTGTTTCAATCTAGTATTTTATGTAAGTTTCCAAATTTTAAGGTTGAATTTTATTAATGATTTGAGGTTAAGATAAAGATCGGATTTTGGGTCTTTACAATCTCTATCTTCAGCTTCTATCTTCGATAACACTAAGGAATATGTGGTGTGAGTTTGTCTTTCTGAAGGATACTTGTCTCTCAAGAAATAACAATACATGTTCAACGATCACTTAAACCGAATACAAAGATAATACACTTTGTAAGGTAAAAATGATCATCATCAAATCACTGAGAGAGATGATCAACATATAACAATTAGGAGATGTCTCTTATTAATTAATATCAAGAAAAAAAAATCCAAAAATATAATAATCCCAATTGAAGTTTAGACATATATAACAGATTAGTTCTCAAACCTACTGCATAACTAATGAGACAACTAAAGTTTTATCTTATTTTGTGAAACATAGTAAAATATTAGGTTGTCTCACAAGTGATTCATGAGTTACAAGGATTCTCATTTCACAAAAGGATTTCAAACAAATAGCAAAAGGGAACGAGGTTAAACTTTTGCATGAGCCTCAACTATTAATAGACGCACACACACATACACACACATTTATAACGAGTTAGCTCATTGTTGGAGCTCTATATTTGACACTATCTCAGTGGTAATCAACATATTCAGGGCCAAACATATAAACATGACATGATTTTCTTACATGCATTACAATAGAGCGAACCCATGGGATCCAATCCACTAGAGACCTCATTGAGTGATAACTTTTGATTCTGAATGCCTTAACAAACGATATGATTAAGAGAATTCAACAAGCACAAAACACCAGGAATGACATGATCTAACCAACTTAAACTATACATCTCTCGATGTTCACTCTTACCATTATAAAATAAAAACCCTTTAATCTGCTTTATTTAAATGATTTATCCATTTATCTTATCATATTAAGGCGGTGTTTGAGATTGCTTATTTGAAAATAACTTATGTTTTTCTACAAAAGTGCTTACCAACTTATTATAAGTTAGAATGGTTTAACTTCTTCAAAAACTCTTTATTACCGGTTTGACATCGGTATAAGTTGTTTATCCAAACACTCAAAAATGCTTATTACCGATGCCACAGCAGAATAAATTAATAATTTGTTTTTATAAGCAATCCCAAACACCCCTAAATGTATCTAATGTTTATATTTCGATTATATACTTCTTAATAATATTATTTAACCCCTTTATTCATTAGGTTTTTGTAACATCACCTTATTGCTTGTGGTTTTCCTCTATATGTTATTTTCTTCCCGCCCATTAACACTTGGTTTCTCAAACCCCAAAATTGCTTCCTGCCTGCTACTCTTTCTAACGCCGTGTCTTCCTCCTTCCTCCTTCCTCCTTTCTCTCTCACTGTGGAAGAAGGAAGAGCAAGAAATTTGAAGTTAACAGGAATGATTGGAAGATTAGGAGATGGACATCACCATATCACCACGATCATCAAGGACAGATTTCTAGGGTTTCTAATCTGGCAATCATTTCATTCAACACTCATCTACTTTATCTGCAAAACCCTTCTCTCCCGGTTAGCCCCTTCAGTCACCCTTCTCGCCGCCGTCTTTGCCTTCCTCTTCTTCCAACTCTCTCTCCTTCTGTTCTCCACTTCGCTCTACCTTGTATCCTCTCCTCAATTCATTCGCGGGGTTTCACCTTTCGAACTCCTCGTTGGCCTAGTTAAACTCATCTTCGTCTATGGAGGTCAGCCCTTGCCATACGATTTTAGACGGAGGGCCAAGGTTACTTTGAGCTTTGTACTCTTCCTAGCTTCCTCCGGGGTGTCTGCTTTTCTGTCTGTTGTTTGCCTTTCTGGGTCTCAGGTTTTTGGAGCAATAGGGCTCAGGGGTTTAGTTGTTGGCTTAATTTATGGATCGCATTATCTGTTTTCAAGGAGATGGGTTTTGGATTTCCCCATTATTCAGGTACGAAGCCTTTTCCAGTTTTCCTGATTTCATCCATAAAGTGAAGCGCGATGTATTTACTTTCTGTTGACTGGGTAAATAATATGTAGAACGCCCTACAGCATGGAACTTTACACTTTTTTTCTTGAAGTACCTTAAGTAGTAATCTTACATTTAAGCTGACGCCTTCAAAGTATTAGGGAGCTTTTGGATCAGCAATTTGTATCGGGTTTTAATTAGTTTTCCGCTAGTGTCTTCTATTGATGTTAGTATTGGTAAAACTTAAGCATGTCGAATAACTTACTGATGATTCATCTCATGATCCTTAGGGAGTCTGATATCATCAATTCATCATTACTCATCTGATCCCCCCATTAGGATAGTATATTGTGTTACAGCCTTAAGAAATAGATGTAGTTTGCACTCTCATTTGTTAATCCAACTTGAAAAGATCATTTTGTATGTAATATTGTTTTATTTGTTCAGGAGGTTTCTTTTTACTGATGTTTCATGTTCATGTTGACAGCGGCCTCTGTTCTTCAGTTACAAAATGGGCATCCTTAAGGCAATTGTAAAAGCCGTGAAGCTTTCAAGTGCTGGGTACCTAGTCTCATTAGTGCTGCCTATTTTTCTGGTTAATGAGCACAAAAGTGAGCGGGCAATGGGAGATCTCGTTGTTGAGCAGATCCTTTTTTATTTTGCATCTGGTGTGGTGTTCCTTTGTTGGGAACTAAATCGGCATTTGCTTCAGGTCTAATTACTTGAAGACATTTGTTTTTGTATTAATCTCCTTTTCATCTTTATCAGATGGTGGGGGGCGAAGTGAGTAATTCAAGACGTTCCCTTAATTTCTTGCTTGGTTTTATAGGTATTTCTTACAAAGAGGTATTTATTTGCCCCCCCAAAGGGATCAGCAGCGGCAGAAACAAACCCAAGCGATCATCTTCTCGCAGCGCTTGAGGAGACAACTCCAAGATCACTTCTACGACATCTTGCTTATCTCGACCTCTGCATGGTGAGTGAGAGTAATGTTGATACATGGCGTCGAGCTGCATTCTTTGAAGAAACTGGCGATACCTACAAAAAGGTGATTGCTGTATGCCTGAAACCATTGGAACAACTCACGTTGGATTTGAGTGAAGGTCTGAGAAGTTCTCCTGAGAAGTCATTCCAACTATCCCGTCAGTTACATTCGCCAACTGAGTCAAGCCTCCGAGAACCATTTTATGACTTTCAGGTGAATAAGAGTGACTAAATTGCTCTTTTACCATGATTTTTTTTTCCTGTCATGACTTCAATTTGAGGCCTATACGTAAATTGAGGTTATTGTAGCTTTTCATATACATATATATGTGTGTGTGTGTATATATACATATATATAATGTATTTGAAGTATATAATATTTATATACTATGAATACTAGGGCACACTTATCACCTTTGGTGAGGCTTGAACTCTTCACCTCAAGGGACAAGGGAGGCTAGGCTCTATTTGTGAGGCTGGGAACCCTTCACCTTCATCTGTAGAGAGAATTTATAGTTTACACTCATGCTCAATGGTATGGGTGCATTATTAACTTTTATTTTGGTTGGTTAGAATGTTGCATCTTTTATTTTGGTTGATGCAACTTGCAAGAACATAAGTTATTGTAAGAAAACAATGTTCTCTTTATCCCTCCAGCCTAGAAGGTTGTGTTTGTATAATTACCCCTTACACAAAAGACCATCCCATCTAGTTTTGGATAAAGGTATACTTGAGAATTTAGAGCATCTTAAGATTTTACATTCACCTTCCTGATGGTCACTCCCCGTATTTATAGTAAGCACAATGAATTTGAGGTAGATCTTTACATATCCACAAATACTTAACCGAACATGCTTTTTAGGTTACAGTTCCATACAAATATCATCTTGCTTTAATCTAAACATAAAACCATTTCATTCGAGACGCCAATTAGCAAGATAGCTTGCAATTTTAACATTCACTATATTACATTTCGATTCCTAATCCATCAACCAATTTTTACCTGGTCACTAAACAAAATTATATGATATTAGGTATTATACCTTTGATGTATTTACAATTAATTCTTAAGTCACAGTGTCACACATTCTTGAATATCTTTATTTCTGTTTTCTTTTTGAATTTTGATACTTCTAGTTGTTATTCTTATTTCTTATTACTCTATTGCCATATTCGTTTTGATCACAATCTCTGCAACAAAGTTGTTACCCGCCATGCCCTAATTAATTACCATAACTTGGAAGTGGAAAAACAGAAAGCACTACCACAATCTCTGAAAACACTATGGACTATGGAGGCGGTTGATACAACGACTATGAATACCATGTCAAGGATGCTACATGTGTAGCCGTGTAGGTAAAAGTATAAGGAAATACTAAAATAGATAACATTGTTTTAAGTAATGCATTTATAACAATAGAGGATCTAAGTAGTTATTGTGGTGCTAGACTGGAATCACAATGAGGTCCTTGATTTTCTATATTGGAAAAGTGGTGGTATAGCGACTTTTATCTATACTATATTATATAACATTTGACAAAAACTCTTGAAAACCATTTTTTATGCATAAAGTACTGTTTATTAATGCATATTACTTAAAACTCAAGATTGCAAGTAGATTGTGCGTAAGTACAACTTACTAAAGCTACATATCTGAATTCGTGTAACTAACTGCAGATAGATATAATCAAATACAAGATAAACATCTCATTTTAAATATAAAAATCTAAAATATAATTAGGATAATCATTGAATTCTAACAGAATACTTAATTATTATCTTTATAAATTTTATCATATTAAACCAAAAATAAATTATTTCATTCTTAAACTTAAATTAAATTATAATATAAAAATAAATTAAAGAAATTACATAAAAAATGAGAACTTTTAAATAGTTGATTTGATATTAACATTGATATTTTTTTTCAAAATTTTATGATATTTTCAAATTTATATTTTGTTCCAAAATAAAATCATTATTGGTTTCTTAAAAACACATAAAATCGTATTATAACATCGACAAAGACAAAGAATAAAATAGAACATTAAAATCGAGATGTATCTCGCTGCATTGCGCGAGTACCCTTCTAGTAATAAATAATATCTCTATATATGCGGTACTTAATATGTAATACATATCTAATAGTATAAAGTTTCAATGTTAAAACATAAATTTTGAAAGAAAGAGAGAGAAGAGAAGATGAGAGGACAAAAGAAGGAAATTTGATGTGCTAGATTCTTATATCAAATAGTTAATTGAACCCATATTTCACTAAAAGGCCAATAAGTATCAAATAAATTGAATTTTTTTAGCAGAAGACCCCAAAAGATATCGATTTACACCACTATCTCAAATCTATATCACGGTCAAATCACACTGTGCATAGCGTTATCGTGATTTTATGCTTTGATATTGAAATTTTGTAGCAATCGAGGACCTTGAATCGAGATATCACTATTATATAAGATTAAGAGTTGAGTAGTTATCACAATACATTGTAGTAATAATTAATCTAGTCTAGATTAAAAAAACGTGCTAGTCTTATTTCACGTCTTTATGGTCATTTTGTTCTACAAGTGTCGAGTTTATTGAGATCTTTAGTATAGTAAGTTAGTTACTTGGTTGACTTCTCAAATGTTTTTTAGGTGCATATACTATTGGAAATATGTTTTTGGATAAGAACAAGCAAACATCTTGCTAGTTACACCAAAAGATCACACCAAAAACAAAACATCGTGATAAATCGATGCATCTTGAAAGCGCTCATCTTGATAAACAATATCTTGTAAAGGGTGCAATAATGTTTTTTTCTTTAACCAAGGTGCAAATAATGTTTTAAAAAGCTAATTAAGTGGCCATCTAGACATTAGTGATTACAACCAAATTTGGATCTAAGGGGTTTATGAAACAATTGGAGAAATAAAAAACTAATGTAAAACTGACAATTGATTGGTGTTTAAGCCAATTAGGAAGTTGGGACCAATCTTTGGAAAAAGGTGAATCTCAATTAGAAAGTGGAAATCGTAACGTGTTGTTTGCTGTGCAAAGAGTCGATCACAACTCTCTAGTCTTGTTGGTTTTCATTTTTTCATGTTGTTTGTGGTATCTTCTCTACATGATCTTTCATGTGTGATGTGATTACCTTTTCTCTTTGTTGTATGCATGTTTCTTCGTGGCTTTCTGTACTTGATTGTGTCATTTATTTGTGAGAGGTGAGAGTAACATACGGTACAACTGTATCTAAACTTTTCCTCCACGTGATATTACCTCGTGTTGAGAGGTGATATTATATTCAAAGCTGTGTAGCTGTTCTCAACTTCTCTATGGTAATTTTTTTTGTATTGTAAATTTGCAAGAGTAGGTATTTTTTTGAACTAACATGATTTATTTGTTTACCTTTTTGATAATCTGGTCTTAAATTTATTTTATTAAGAATATTATTTTTATACGTAAGAGGCTTACATACTTTTGCTGTTCTATATATGTATGCGGTATATATATATATATATATATATTAAAATAGGATGCTTCATGCTTGTACTTAACAATCCACTTAATCAATTAAGCGTTAGGCCCTTGATCAACTGTCTAGTTCTGCCTAGTGTTTCTAGAACCCTGTGGACAAACAAACTATGGCTTATTGTATGTGTGGATGAGATTTATAGGGGAAAATTGAACATGCTGAGTCAAATCCCCATAATTTACGTGTCTATACTAAGAGGAAGAGGTGAAATGCAATTGTTACAGAGACATGCCATGGAGAGGGGGGCTAAACAATATGGAATGATTGTGTTACAGTAGATAGATACTTGAAAGTTGAATTAGAGGGACGACTTATATGGAACCACTAAACGAGTAGGCGCAATGATGATGGGAAAAAGGCGTCAATTAACACACGTCCATTCTTGCTTGTTTTAGCTAGGTTGAAAGTCGAGATCTACTCCTGATTAGTCTATTATTTGTTTATTTTCGTTTTACTGCTTTCGCTAAAAGACTGACTCGAGTGGTACCCTCTATTATATTGTTGTTATGTGTTGCTCTAATTTTTTTTGTTTTACCATATAACTCTTTTATGCTAAAAAGGAAAGTGGATTCTAGGGTTGAACAGAGAAAATGGTGGCCAAATTTGAGCTGATACTTGGAATATAAGCTAGACATGTATAAGGTAGCGACTAAGGTTTTGTTGGCTACTAGTCAAGAGATGTTTGTGAGAGTTGTTAAACCGTAGTTGCATTGAACAATAACGATCGCAATGGTGTTCCTTTTGCCAATCCTATTGTAGTGATAATCGCTATGGATGTATTTCTCTTGCCCTTGGGAAAAAGTTGAGCTGGCATTTTTCGGGGAGTGTGCTAGTGGTTGGCTTGTTCATGCATAACAGCTCTTTGAGATGCATTCAATTATAGAAGATTGAAAATGTTATATGCTGTGGTTGTTAGTATGGTACATGTGCAGGCGTTGTCAACACATTCCTACTATGATTTGTAAGCAATGTACTGTGGAACTTATTTAATGCCTCAACAAACACCTATGGAGGAATTTCTTGGAGTGTCTCATAGTTGCATCTACCAAGGATGAATCATGGCTCTCTTCATTGAATTAAGAGCATAAGTGGAAACACCACCGAAGATCATTATTTGGGCTACTTGCTAAACAGTTGCAAGGACCTATTACGGCTGTATCTGTGAGCATGACACTGTTCACCTATCCTATATTCAAGCTAACATGAAACATTGAAGTACGTTTTTGTGTGATGGGGCTACTTTGGATGACAAACAATTCCAAAACAAATCAATTGCTTCTCAGATGCGTTTCTTAGAGGAACTTGGCCTCATTTTATGCCTCAAAGGAGTTCAAAGTTTCTAGCTTAAAAAATTTAGTAGCATGCTCAACAAATTGTGCAATCTATTGACATCAAATCTCATGTTGAATCACACATCTCCACCAATTTGGAACCCCACATTTTCTTTGGCAATCACTAGTGTCCTGTTAGAATTTTGCATGGGAACCGATGTGGTTAGTCATCATTGGTACTTATTGCTTTGAAAGGAAGGCCTTTGTTTTTGCTTTTGTGAACCCTAACCCGTTTGCTCGATTGTCTCAAAAACGATTGTGGACAATAATGGTCGAGGAAGCCACTTTTGATAACACTGTAAGAATTTGTCGAGCATTAATCCCAAGCTTAATTGTCTTAGGAGCATTATTTTATAT